AAAAAAGCGGGGGGGGGGGGGGGGGGGGGGGGTTTACCCTCAAGCTAAAGTGGGGTCCGATGGCCTCCGCCGGAAACATATTGAAACATGCTCTCGTTTTAACTATTTTGAGACCTATAAACTATAAATTAGTATAAATCTTTTTAAATTACCTCACTTTTGTATTTTAATTTAAACCCTGAAGCATATAACGAAAACAATAATTGTTCAGTGAATACTTATTTATTTTTACACATTTTACAACAGAATACAACACAATAAACTAAATGTCTCTAGTCTAGGATTTAAATTGAGGAAATTTGGCTGTTGTCAAAAGTGTTGTCCATCCCTGAGTAGCCCTTGCAATCCTTGAAACCAGTGAAGAATCCTCTTCAAAACCATGCACTTGCACAGATACATTGTGAACGCTTTCTACAAACATTTAAATTTAATAGATCTTGGGCCCTCAAAATATAGAAGGAGATAAACAACAAAGCACTAAGTCAAAAAAACTGTTTGCGATCAATACACTGGATTCTGGATATATGAACTTTATCAAATCAAACTACCAGTATACTGACTAACTTGACTTAAGTCGGCTGTGCAGACTTACCAGAATCCCGAGATTCCGTTTTATTTTCACGGCATTTTCTTTTGGATTTCATATTTTATATTTGTGAATTTAATAAGTAAGTTAATAATTCTGGTAAATCCAGAGAACTTATTTGATTTTTCGATTTCAGTAACCGTGTTTACAAAACAACTATGGAAAGGAAGTCGGAAGTAAAGTATTTAATTTTGGCGGTCTTAAGAGCGATGCATGCATTATGGTCAAACAAACTAACGAAACATAAATTTATAACTAAAGAAAAAAAATTGTTTATAAAAAGAATTTAATTTGATTTTCTGAAGATTATTAGATCTAATATCATTCAAATATCTACTTTTAAATTTTATTTCAAGAAAAAATTGGTTTTAATAATTTTACATTTGTGTCTGGTTGATTTATTCCAAAGACACCAAAGGGGCCATCCAAAAAGTACGCCGCTCTATGTTTGGACATTTTTACCACCCCTCCCCCGGTCACAATCGTTTATAAATCTCAACCCCCACCCCCCCCCCCGCACCTAAAGTACGTCACACTTTCAAATTATTTTTCTTTTAAAATTTCAAACTAAATAGAATTTACCATAATATAAAACAAACACCCCTTTAACTATTAAATTTATAAAAGTGTATCTTCTGTCCGAAAAAGAAACACCCATAACAACAGAAAGTTCAACATTACTGAACATCACAGGTTTTATATGTATGTTATTTTTTTAATATATGACGTCACGCAAGAGTTTTTAACCCCACCCCGTGTCACAAACTTTCTAAGCCCTCTTAAAAGTGGCATACTTTATGGACGGCCCAAAAAGTTTCTTTGAAATGTTAAGTGACCCCATACATAATACTCCGTACACGTTGTACATTTAAGATAATTGAGTTCCCAATATATTACAAGTTGCCTCCTTTGTTTTTATGGGAATTTCTATTTTAAATTAAAGTTAAAATAAAAAACATTTTTAAATACTCAAAAACGTTTAAAATAATTCTACCTTAAAGTAGCTCTCCCCATATTTCTATTACAATTCAGCACTGTTTTTTTAAAATAACTTTACTTTTGCTTGTATGGCCACTCACTTATTATATTATAATTTATAAAGAAATATTTCCAATCCATGGACTTGAAATTTAAAGCTACAAGTTTGACATCGTGTTGTGATGGGATGGGGGTATTAATGATGCAATTTTTAAAACATAAAGATCTTTTAACTTATTTAATGACGACTATATAATTTATCATATATTTTTAAATATTTTAATAAGCCTACTTATAATGTAGTTTAAATTATTATTTAAAAACATATGTACAACTGTTACATATTCGGAATGATTACTATATTGATCGTTGGCCCTTAATATAATAATATAGAAGAAGGATATAATGTTTAAGGACTGGTTGTCATTCATATGTTAGAGAATTCGCCGAATATACATTCAATTAGGTTAAGATTCCAAGATGAATAAACATTTATCACAACTTTTATAATCTCCTTTTTTATAACTTGATGATTAAAAAATGTAATAAACATTATGTAAAAGAAATTAATTTTAAAACATTAAATATAGTAAGAAGACCCTTACACTTTCATTAAATTTTGATTATTCCTTGCTATAAAACATTTTTAAAATTTCAAATCTTTTAACCCACTAATTTTTTGTATTAAATATTGATTTAACTGATCTTGTTTAAAGCCCAGCTTTAGCTGCACGATTTCATTAGCATTACCATTTTGGTAAATATAGCTTACTAATTTTAATGTTTACCGCCGCGAAAAATCTAGCTCTGTTGGTTGTTGACATATGAAACTTAGCAGATCTAATTTCCAAAAATACCATAAAGACTATAGAAATAAATTAACATTTAAAAATTTTAAATATGCAAATGTGATACAATTACTATTAAATTTATCAGTATTTATTAGATTAAAACTGAATATTTAAATTGTACTTTTCATTCATTGTACGTTTCATTCATATTTTTTTTCTAGTTCCAGCAGCGTACATGTTTTTAAAAATCAATTGTCTTTTGACAAGAATGTCTCCCCTTGATGGTAACTAAAGACAACGGAAATGTAAATAATTTGGACCTATTGACGTTTATAGTTCTATAGTCTATAGGATTGTTGTTTTTTAATAATACTTGTGGTATCATCCTTTATTTTCTTTAAATCTAATTACTTAAGTCTATAAAGAGACTCACTAAATCAGATGATAATTTTTTGTTATCTTAATAATAATTTGTGTCTTTTAAAAATTAAATTAGATTCTAATTTGCTAGCCTACCCTATGGCTATGCAGCATGGATGCAGCTACAGACTATCCACTCCATTATTGATAATATTATTATTTATAATTTATAAGCTCTCTACCATCTATTGTGTTTCATTTCACTGTACTGTTTACACACGCCATCAAATGGTATTATTACATAATCAAAGTAAACTATTTAATTTTAATATATACCCCTTCGAACATTACACCATTTTGCCCTACTACTTAAAGTCAAGTAAGACTAACTAAATACATGATTTAATTTTAGTTTAGAGCATTTGCAATTATTAGTAACTAAATAATGATTAATTATTTAATGAGAAAGCACTTCAAAGTTAGTCTTTGTATGTTTGACAAAATTTCATTTTCAGAATTAAATATGGCATCATCTGAAAATTTTGAAGAAAATATTAACACATTTATCAAAGCTAAAACTGGCGAGCAAATTTATCTGGATTTAACTACAGAAAATGTAATTCAACTAAAACCAGTGTGTAAGAGAGGATCAGTTCCCCTTGGGGCCTTCTGGGTTCATGTCTTTCAACATTCCAATAATTACCCAGTAAGTAAATACAACAGTACAGTTGACAATTTATTTAAGTACTTTTACTAAAATTTTATGTTCCAATATTGGAAAGTTTTGAATTTCCGATAATAACAATGCGGAAACAGGGTGTAGTGGTTTCTTGATATCAAATAGCTGGTTATTTCTCTGCAACATATAGTATAGCAGAACTTGATATAAAAAATCATAAAATGGTTAAGCTTTGATTTGGCACCCACAAATATATATTTTTTATATGCTATTTATGAGCCATTTTTTAATTTAAAAATTAGGTTGTGTACTATAGTAATCCTATTATAACTGAAAGTAAGCAATCACGTATACAAAATAAAGTTTTTTTAATTTCCAATTCTAAAAATATAGAAAAATGCATTAAAATTAAATTCATTTCTTTGTGAATTTTTACAAATTATTAAAAATTATCAGGATTTTTCAATAAAGCCATATACTTTACTTCAGTAAATTAGTACGAAAATAAACTTGCATTAATGTTATTTTTATCGGTACTGGTCAATTTAGTTTATGTGATTATGAGTCATTGGGACATAAAACCAAGAGGATTTTGCAAATTTTAAAAAAAAAAATAGATTGAATACTGGTTAATATTGTACAAGTATTTCACTAAAACAGCACACAAATTTAAGGTGTATATATATTTTTAAATATGTTAAATTCTTAATCATCCCTAAAACTTTTACTTTACATTAAATTATCTCACCAATTATACTAATCAATTGTCTTGCAAAAACAATTTCTTGATAATATTTTGGTCACTATGGACATAAAATTATTGGGAACATATGAACATTACAATTATAAAATTCTTTACATTTGGCATCTCAGAAACAATTGGTAAAGTCAATTTTATATCTTTTCCTCACGATAACATAGCATTAGCATGGATCTTTTTAAGTAAAAAAAAATTATATTGATATAAAAAAACTAGGTATTGTAAAACCCCATATTATCATATCAGAAACGGAAAAATAGGGACCAATTTTCAACAAGATGGCAGCAGCCTTGATATTTGTAGATACGCCCTAGGAAACGTGTCAATACCAGCATTAAATTATTTCTAAGTTCTGTAACAGTTTAAAATTTAGCATTTAGTGCACATTTCAAAATTTTATTTTGAAACACTTGCTGTTTTCCACTATACAAACCATAAAGATGTTTTATTCTAGGTTTATTCATATCCTTACAAAAGACTGTACCATGCTGGAAGACCATTTGAATTACAGCTCAGAATCGATGGAATTTCCATTAACATCAACTTATCATCAGGATATCTTATCTTCAAAGGTTCACATGTAATTGACTGGTTTGTGAGTCGTTTTCTAGGAATCCTGGAGGGATATGCATTGCCTCCAGGAAAAAGTTCAAAGGAATTAAGAGATCAGTATACACAAGAAGAAATGGAGGCTTTGAAAAGGGAAAGGAAAATTTGTTATAAGCAAAGTAAGACAATCTTTTTTAAATTTTTTTTTAATAAAGGAATATTATATTTTATTTTTTAGTTTAATATAGCAATTTGAATTAAAGAAATCTTAATTTGGTGTTTCATAATTTTTTGGTGAACTAAACAAATTGTTGTTGGTAAGATTTCAAAATCTTATCAAAATGTAAAATGACATTTCTCAAAGTTGAGAGAAACAAATATATATATATATATTGTATGCTTGTAATTAGTTTTTGTAGTGTCGCGTTTGTTTTAAATGTGGTAAATTATAGATTTGTTTTTAGTTGACTTTGTACCACGCTTCGAGCCTTTGGGGATGAAGCGTGTTTTTGAAATGAACTTTATTATTATTATTATTTATATATATATATATATAATATTTCTGCTCAACAATTATTTGTTAAAAGTTTAGAATGGGTGCCTCTCTTTAAAAGATAAGGTAGATTTATTTTTACAATAATTTACACCAATTTACAGTGATAGATGAATGGCCATCGAATGCTCTAAAAATGGAGGCCAAAATTATGGAGGCTGGAAGGCAAACTACTAATCAAGAGCCAATCAGCCTGGAAGGATTTTTAAAGGCAGAAGATTTAGAAACATATTGCCCCATTGCAGATTTGGTGAGTAGATTAAATTCTCACAGAAAACAGACGTGGTACTTTTTATTGCTTTTTTTTAAAATAAAGTTTATCTGCAGATAATAATAAAGTACAAAATAAAATCAGAATTTTCAATTAATCAAATTTTAACTCACATTTTGATTTTATTATTTTTTTAAAAACAAATGTCACCCTTAAGTTTGGTACCAGGCATATGTGACAGACAACTGAATTTTATTGAAATGTCTCTTGGAATTGATTTTGGACTAAACTTGACAATTTATATTCGAGGTATAAGTGTAAGTATCAATTACATAAATATATTTGAAAACAAGTGCATTGAGATTGAAATGACCATTTATGCCAATATGTTTCAGTTGGATGAAGTAGAAGTTACACAACAGTTGGTCAAGCTTGAAACTGGAAGAGTCATTCAAGGTAATGTGCTTTACAGATTATGGAAATCTACATTGAATTCATGGTTGTCTGACAAAGATGGAAAAGTCTACATCATAACACCTCACATCGATTGTGACCGTCTTGTTGACATTTGCCAGCTTTTTTTGAAGAACAGACTTACAGCTTGCCTTGATACACTGTGTATCCCAATGAGCAATTTGTATGGCAGATTTGCGAGTGTAAGAAGTCAGGCCATTCAACAATTTCCTCCTAGAGATCAAGTTTTTATTGAATATAAAATCTACAGTAACGTTGTGTATCCAGTTGTGGACTTTGTCACCAGTTTTATTGCTATGGTTAAGGATGGTAAAGCAAGAGTTCTACAAACCAATACTGATTTTGACAGAGCCAGTTTCTTGACTACAACATCAGTGACTGTTCAGTACAAAGAAATTGATGAGACAGAGTTTCTAAAAGCATATCTTGACCCCATCATTGGTTAGTTGAAGGAATATGGAACAATTATATTTTTATAGATTTCATTAATTAATTAAACTAATTCACAATATTTAATGACTTTAATGTAATTATTATTTATAGCTTATAAAGTACTAGTCTTTTAAACATTTTCCATTATGGTGTTTGTGATGCAATGTAACTGCCTGGTATTGGCGTACTGGTACATACAATTTTAAATTTTGCTCCATGCATGTTTGTGCAGAACCACTATTTTAACATGCCAAGTGGGTAAATTTAATGTCTTCGGGCTATATATTATTTTGAGTGCCATGAATTTATTTAAATGAAATATGGAACATAGATTATTGTCTGTTCAACAGTTATCTTAAACTTGATTCTCAAAAAAGTGAAATGAAAATAGTTTTTTGTTTTAAAAATTAAGTTTTGGATATTCATACATTTATTTTTGTTTGTGACTGTTGATTCTTTCTGTTTTTTAGCTTCATATTCATTTATTGTCTTCGGTGAAAAGCTATAGCTATGACGAAACTGATGACTAATAATGTTTTTTTTAAAAATAAATTATACATATTAATTTAAGGTTAATTGGTTAAAATAGGGCTAGTTTGTGAGTCAGAGTATAGAGCAAGATGGGAGCCGGTTAGGGGCATGTGCTGGGAGTGTATTCTGGTGGGCAAGGGGTGTTTATAAAATGGAGAGGGTATGAGATAAGTGAAGAGGAGCATCAGTTGTAATAAGTTTTGGTAAGAGGGTGGAGTAGGATGAAGGAATTCAGAGTGAGAATAAGAATAAAATATTAAAAAATAGTTTCTTATCAGGATTAGGCTGAAAGTATATGACTTAAAAAGAGGGAAGAAAATGCTTCTATTTCTATCATTTATGAGGGAAGAAAATGCTTCTAGTTCTATCATTTATGAGGGAAGAAAATGCTTCTAGTTCTATCATTTATGTCTTTTCTTTTAAAATATAGACACATACTGACATGCCAGGTTTCAGATTTTATTGCAACCCAGACAGCACATTAAATTTAGAGCTAATCAATTTCTATTTGTCACTTGCCCGTGTATTTAAGAGCCTGAAAGTGAAATATTTATGCTCAATCAAAATAATTATAAAGCTTAAAAAATTGAATTCAAATGTAAAAAATAAAAGGTTTTAAAATAGTTATTTCCTCTTTGTAATGAGTACCGGTAATCAAATACAAATTTGTTAAATAAAATAAACTTGACTTCTTTAAATTTTAAAAGTATAGTTTATAAAATGAAAAATACATGTTTTTGTTAGTCCTTTTTGCAATCTGTTTGTCTAAGTTTTTTCCTTTTTGAACAAGCTTTGAATCAAAAAATGCATGGCTTGATGACCTAGTACCTAGAGTGCGAATATTTAAATATCCACTGTATTTCTTTATTCAGTGTAAAGTTTATCTGAGAAATAATTTAAATGAAGAAAATTGAATTGGGACATAAAATCAAATTTATTACATGTCGATTCTCCTGCTGTTAGACTGTGGAATACAGTATCATATTGTACAAACTTGGGCATTAAAATAAAAAAACTGATTTTTTTTCTTAAATCAGTTATACTTTAGATTCAAAGAAAACAACAATTTAAATACTAATTACTGTAGTGAGGTTTAGAAAAACTTTTAAAAATCCAATACAATAACAGAACCAAACATTTAATCACCTTAATGGTAAACTATGAAAATGTGAATCTTTTTAACTGCCAAAAAATAACAGCCTTGCTAAGGAACAAAAATGTAACTTACCATCATTTAAAAACATTATTACACTTATAAATAAACTTTTTATCTGTTATATTTCTAAGCCACAGGATGACTTTCTTATTATTTATTAAAATTAATTTATCTACACCCAACAAAAAAATCAAATTTAAAACTCCATTCTTTCAAGATTTCTAGAGGTACTCAGTTGTCTGAGTCTTTACACTAAATAACAATTTATTTGCTGATCAAGAATTTGCATGACAAAGAATTTTGCTATTTGTTCATTAAAGAATTAAAAAAAAAACAGATTAAAACTTGTACATCAGTGGTAAATGAGATGCAGTATCGTGATGAGATATAGTTGCCTATATACAAAAGTAACAATTATCATCTATGACAGTGGCAAACATAAAAAGAATACTTAAAAGAATCTGATGAAAATGAAAACCATGGGATGGTTGGGCACATTGAAACATTGTGATCTTCTCACTTTCCAGCTTGTTTACGCAACATGTGATAGATTTTTTCTTTCAGCCAGTCCTTATTGTGAGGAGTATATGTACCATACGTCTTTTGAAACCTGAAAAAGGAGATTTAAAAGGCACTTTTGGTTTAATGCAGTAGTCAATGCTTTTTAAACCCCACAATTCCAATCTACATATGGTGACTTTTTCCTTATTCCCACAATCTCAATCAGCCTCGCAATAATATAAAATTTTGTGAATGTGAGTAATCTACTTTTGCTACATAGGCATTCTCATGCCATTACTTTTTTCCAAATAGCTAACATACATGTTAGTAAAACAAAACCTTTTGTTTATTGACTGATAGCTATTTTTAAAATAAAGATAATCAAATGAAAACTATTATTTATTACTCTTGTATTAATTACCTATGTTTATAACATCTATTAACTAATTTTCAATAGTTTATTTAATAACACATTTGTGCATTTGCGGAACAAAAGAGACAGGTATATTGGACGAACTATGTTATGGTGATAAACCCTGATAAAAAAAAAGTATAAACCCAGATAAAAAAAAAGAAAACAAATAACTTTTTTTAAAAATGTACAAGTTCCTTTATGCAATTAGGAGAGTTTTATTAATTCTAAGGTACTCACACCAAGCAACTCAAATCTGTTAACTGATCAATAAACTCAAATAACTGTGAGATGTCATATGTTATTGAGGGATCATGTGGATGTAGTCGCTTCAGGTGCTCTTCAAATATTTTACAAATTCCTGAGGATAGAAAATATCATAAATCATAAAATTTTAAATATTAAAAATAAGTTGTTATAAAAGGAACAACACTGTTTGATCAGAAAAAAAGCATGTAATGATTTCATGAAAAACATTTTTTAGCCCTGGTGTACAAATTGAAAATTGTGATATTTTATAATTTGAATAAAAATTTCAAACATTGGTTACCTTCCAGACATTCATTGAGGGATTCGTAATCAGAATAAGTTCTTGTCTCAGGACGCTGGTTTGGCTGAACCAAAAGGATTGTGTGAGACTGAAAATATGAAGGAGAGAAATTTTAAAAAATGCAAATATGCATTAAAAAATATAAAATACAACTCAAAAAGTAGGTGAAAACCTGAAATTCCAATAAATAAAGCATACAGACTTTTTGTCGGAAAGCCTTCAACAGCAAAAGAAAGAAACAAATAACAAAAGAGAATAAAAATAATAACCTTTCTGAGACAATAAGAGTTGGAAAGGAAATTAGATAAGTTTGATTACAGAAACATCTCTTGAAATTAAAAATCTCGGGTATAGATTAACAAGAAAATGAAAGTAAAAATGTAAAATAATAATAAATATTATAATTTAAGTTGCTGCTACCCCGGTCCCTATCAGCTACTCTGTTGGTATGTATTTTTCTAATATCCTAGGTCCTAGTTACAAAAAGTGGACTTTATTTCATTTTAATTTAAATTCATTATTTAACTCTCCTCTTTTCTCACATAAAAATATTGACCCTTTGAATCACGCACACAGCACCCTGCACAATCTATTTAAATTTACTGCAACAATTTTAATATGCAAGCAAATAAATTTTAATAATAGTGTATCAAAGTTATGATGTTTCAATTATAGCAGCTAGGAAATAACCAATTAAAAATACCAGAGCCTGAAAAGTTGGTAATATATTAATTAAATTAATTATTCTCAAAGTAGTGTGTCATGACAGCCCAGAAAAGAAAGGTTGTGATATTTAGTTCTGCTGTGTCATTGTGTAAACACTGCCTAGATCCAAACAGTTACTAGGCCTAGGGCAACAACAGTGACAGACTGGACTGTTAAGTAGTTTAAGTTGTGAAGTGGTAGCAAGGTAGGCCAAAAAAATTTAACTTCGATAAGGCACTTTGATACTCATCTGCGCACCATTCGGCACAGATTGAAAAATAACAATAAAGCTTGTGGCACTGTTTCTAAAAGGGCTTTCCTATTATTTCATTTTTAGTGCGTTCTAAGTATATAAAATTATTGTTTTCCTCATTAGTGACATTGCAACTTTTGTCATCTGGTGACACTACTGAATTTTATGCAATTTGTTTCATCATGCATAACTTATGGTGAACATTTTTTGAGTTTTGATTACATTCATAATTCATTTTCATTACTACCTGCAGAAGAATGGGGTTTAGACGCAGTGATACTACATCCTTAGCCCTAATTTTACATATTTAATTCATTAAATTTGACCAATTAAAAAAAAAAAAGAAAAAAAAAAAGATATGCACTCCCTAAGGGGGTGGGGGATAAGGGTTAATTTTTATTGTATAGAGATGCAGAAAATGGTTATTATTCTTGTTACTATCAAATCAGTATTTATGAATTTATTATTGTTGATCCTTAAATATATGAACAAATTTAAGTAGTTTATATTTATATTAATAATGAATTATTTTACTAAATTTTAGAAAGGAATATAACATATAACATAAGTTTATATAGGGTACCTAATTTTTAATGTTAAAATTATTGTGTAGGTCTTAGGCATACATTTTTTAAAAACCAGATTTTAATACTTTTATTTCCATCGCCTAATACTAATATTATTAAAGGGTTAGGCTAGAGTAAAATTTTATTTTTGAGAATATAATTTTAAATTTTACGAATCTAAATAACGAATTAAATTAATTATAAGAATAACAAGAAGTTCTTATTTAGGGAACATCAATTTTTTTAAATTCCCTCATCCCCCATCCCCAAATATTATTTTCCCTAGCCTTTGTTAAATGAAAATAATTAAATATTTATGGGTGAAATAAAGTCACCAGATTATAAGATTATTACGAAGCTATTTTATTGTACTCACATTTCAAGCCCAATTATCCAAAAAATAATTCCACAAAATTTTATAATATTTTACACATGCATTCTCAAAAGAACAATTCTAATCAGTGGCACAGGAAGATTACAAAAAATTTTGAGAGCCACATTTCTTTTCTAGAAAACCCGTCAAGAATCACGTTTCTCGGAGTCAAAAAGGATTTGTGACAGGCTGGCCAAGCCGCACTCGGGTCGCTTGAGAACCGCATGCGGCTCGCGAGCTGCGATTTTCCGACCACTGTCTTATCCTATGAATATTTAAATCAGTGATTTCATCAAATCACTTTCCGAGGGAGGGCTGGGATAACCAACAACACTTCTCTCACGGCTAAGACTAATTTATTGATTTGAACCGGTCACCTAATGAAAGACCGAAACCTGGTCGTGCGCCCAATCAGGGCGTCATGTCTTGACAGGTGCGTTCAATTATCTTTACACCTCCCTGGGAGATATCGGGGGACACCCATAAATGTCAGAATGTAAGCGACCATTAGCAGAGTCTTTGAGTCCATTGGATTGAGTTCAGTTCTTTGCCTCGCTGAACGCGGATCAACGGGGTGGCTGAGTGGATTTGAAGGTGTTCAGTGGTCCCCAGTCTGTGTCCGCGGACACATTTATTAATATTTTGAAACAATAATTTGATGCATTCATTTTTAAGTACTATTTAATTCTTCTAATCAATAATAGCATTAGTTAAATGCATGCTATAATCATTGAAAATAAATTTAACACAATTTTTTTAATAATTATTTTCCAACTTTTCTTTTCAGGATTTTATCAAGTTTCCTTCACATGAATAGTACTATTTATTTAGTGCATATAATTACTTTAAAATCCAATGAACCTGCAGTACAAATAAACAAAACTGATGAAGGCATGTGCCAAAACGTTTAATTGTGTAGAATGTATAATTATTATTAAAGCGCAACTTATATTGTTCTATTGACACAATTTGTTCGTGTCTCATTAATCTATTATAAAGCTTTATCGCAGTCCAACACTTTCTGTGATTGATGAGTGGCTTATGCAAACATAAATCACACCAGATACAGAATCAACAAACACTGTCTGTACTGTTGTGGTCCATTAACAAAAGTTCGTTGATCCAAATCATAGGATGTTGAAAATATGTGGATATGCACGAAGCACAAACTGAAAAGATAGTTTGGCAACAGATGCGCTCTTATCACTTCTTAATCCCTCCATTGAGATCATTTTTACCCGTTCTGGGGGAACATGTGGGGGGACTATGATTCTATGATAAACTCAAACTCTATTTGCTTAGCAAACATTAATCATTAACCTTATCTGTAAGTAACTACATATTACAATTATATTCTTTTCATACTTAAAACTGTTTAAGTTTAAAATTGTTGGCGAGGTCAGAATATTTATCTATGTGCTGAAATAAATATGCACAATGTCATAAAAAAAAATATTTCTATATATTCATTTATTTGGATCAATAAAGGCAAAGTGGCAAAGCCAATAAAGGAAATAATGGTAAAATAAAATAGCACTTCAAACCCCCACAAAAAACAAGATTTTGAAATTGAAATGGCTGATGATAAAGTAGTCAAATACATAAATGATTGTGTAATGCACAACATCAACCAAGTACATTGAAGTTAGAAATATACTTCAGTCCAGACTTAGTAAAGTACTAAAAGTTCGTCAGATGTGAAGTTCGTGTATTGAATTGACAATTGTCGATAATTGGTGGTAGTAGTAGTAATATAACAAAATCATTAGCCTAGTCTGCTGGCTTTTTCTTGAAAATAACATTAAATATTTTAAGATCATGTAAACAAAAATAACATTTGGTTTTCAATACGGTAATTTAAATGGGAAATAAGAGACCAAACTTAACCATTCTTTTTGTTGTAATTCCTTTTAGATAGATGGACAACTAAACGTAAGCCTACTGTGACTGTAGGTAAAGTAGTATTAATAGCGTAGCTATATTCAAAATTAGTTTCCACCTAAATTACACGTGTAATGTTAACGACTGTTATATTCTTGATTTAAAATTACACAAAATATATGAAATTACTAAATTATATATTCCATTTGATAATAAATCTTATAATAGTTTAATATTTCAAAATTAAATAGTACAATATTTGTTTAAATAGGTTAAATTTCAGGAAGTTGCTGCTGCCATCTTCTAAATATCACAACAATGTAAAGCTACGTGTTTATAAATTTAAATAGGTATAATACACACAACCCAGGATCAGAAGTGCTCTATTCGACAACCTTTTTAGAAAATGGATGATATCTTGACTCTCCTTTCTCTGTCCATAGCGATGCTTGTTGGCTGTTACCTTGCAGGAGTCATCCCACTGACTATTTCACTTTCAGAGGTAGGCTTATTTTACCTGATTAAGATTAAGATATATTGCCTGCGGCTATTCGGACCCGGGTACAAGAGTGAGAGGTTGGGTTTATTAAAAAATATTAAAAATATTATTGTAGACCCTGGTCCGAACAACCACTTCGATATAAGTTAATTAGTTATAAAAATACATAAAAGTATAGATTATAATTATAAGGCATGAGAGACCTAGGCCTTGCTAATTAAATACTAATTTCAATTTACCGATAGAAGAGAGTAGATACTTCGATGAAACAAGGGAGACTACTACTTTTTGTGTATAAAAAATAGAAATCGGTGCCGAAAAATCCGAGTTTTTAATTTTCCGATGTGTGTGTCTATTATTAAATTAGTACTTTCGTTATATATTTGAGTTCTGTTTTTGGCCTTATACTTATAATTAGGTAGACATCTTGGCCTAGGTTTTAATTAATTTCTTTTTCATTTACAATCAGTCAGCTTTGAGAAAATCCTTGGTAAATATAAGGCAACTTTCATCATTAAAATTAAGTCGAAGTTAAACATTTGTCACTACCAAATTTTTTTCGCATCTGGGGAATGTATTGATCTACATGTATGCCAATTTTCACAGCGATATGTGTCTTAAGATAGACGCCATGTTTCTACGCGTTCGCAGCAGGTCATGCAGTTCGCTCAACCTAATTTCGCCATGGGGTGGGCCACACCCCCTTTTTAATGGCGGAAGTTGCCGATACTTAGGAAATATTAATTTATTACCACTATATACCAAAATATTTGCTAACTTGTGTTTCAGAATGCATTTTGAAGACATTTAAACTGGAATGTTTTAATTTGAGCTTTAGCAACCCGGTAGAGTCCATATTATAAATGATCAGAATTTACGGTGTGCAACATGTTGTCATTGGCAACCATTCACAGCCACTTGCATAATGGCTGTAACGTAGTACTACCTCAGAGTTTCATTCATAAGAGTTTGCAGTGTGCAAAAACTACCATACCATTGGTCAGGGAAAGCTTTAATTAATTATTCATTTGCCAAAGTTGAAAGTTTAAACTAAGTCGACCCTAAACAGTATTTAAGTGATAAGGCGATGCGTTGCCTTATATGAAGTATATAGTCATTGCCCATGACGCGATCAGCGGAATGAGGTCACAAGATGTGGAGGTTTCGTCCATACCAATAGTAAAAAATACCAAACGAACTCACACTTTCAAAATTCATAGCTCAAAAAGTACTTAAGCTAAACATTTGATTCTGGTTTCATTTTTTTATTTGAAATTTGCTCTAACTAACTGTGTTAGTAAAAAAATTATTTCAATTTTTTTAAATTTTGTATTTAAGTACCTAAAGAGAGATAGCATCCTGGTTCTGATAGGGTCAAAACCCAGGTTAGGGATAAGTTTAGGGTTCAGGTTAGGTTTAGGGATAGATTTAGGACATAAGTACGCGGGTTACGGCAACCAAGGTTTCAAGGTAAAAAAAATGTGGTGCTTTCTCTTCACATTTACCGTTACATAATTAATTGTCTGTAGGTACTTCTGAAAAAAATATTCTATATAATAAATATTACATTACTTTATTACAAATACATATAATATAGTATAGAGTAGAGAAAACTTCAAATAACTCTTGTTTTAAAAAAAGTAAAGGATAATTTTATAAAACTTAAAACTTTTATTTTCAAAATTAATGCTATATAATATATGAAAAGTTCTAAAATTATCTTTAACTTTTAACACTATCATGCAATTATAAATACATTTTGACTATCTTTGTAATAATCCACTATCTATATTATATATATATATATATAATATAGATTATGATTATGTAAGGCACAGCATCACTTAAAAACAATACTGGTTTGGGACTACTTATTTTGAACTTTCAACTTTTGCACATGACTAATTAATTAAAGCTTTCTATGACCAATGATTTAATAGATTTTGCACACGGCACATTCATTTTTTTATGGATGAAACTATGAGAATACTCCTATAGCCTATAGTACAATAGCACATGCAAGTGACTGAATGTTTGCCTAGGACAACGTTTTGTGGACTATAAAATATGATCATTGATAATGTGGACTCTACCGGGTTTTTTAACCTCAAATTAAAATATTCTTGATTAAATTAATTCTAAGTTCATTCTAAACCATGGGTTATCAAATATTTTGATATAAATAGTGGTAATAATTGAATATTTCCTATCTGCATCTTTCGCCATTAAACCATGAACTGTGGCATGCATCATTCTGTGGTGTGGGAGCTTTTTTGAGCTTTTTGAGTGCCATTTGAAATTGCTTTAAATTACATAGAAATATTGATACAAGACCCCAATAAGTATATATTTTTAGAAAGGTAAATGGATGGGGATAAAGTTGGCCATATTGCCCACCCTTTAAAAAAATTTTGCTCATGTCCTTGACTTTGGAGTTCTCAAGAAAAAAAATCTTGCTTTCAAGCGCTCATAACATCATTAATTTTTATAGATACACTTAAAACACAAATCTAGATGTTGTAGCCAATTCATTTATCTTTAAGAAAATGTATAGTTTGCTAAGGTTTTGATTAAAATTAAACATCTGAAAGCAATTTTTCATTTATACAAAAAACTGGGACCACTGCTAAAACTAAGTACAAAATATCTCGGGCAAAATAGTTATTAGTGACTAGTAAACATTTAAAAAGGAACTGTGGAACTGATTTGGTTTGTTTAACTATAAAATTTATTAGTTCTGAACTATAATCTGTAGCTTCTGTGACTAAATTTCAGTCAGTCCTTGCCCAACCTCTGGTTCCTGGCTCGAAGTCTAAACAGTAGCCTCAGTAGCCCTACTTCAGTATCACTAAGACTAGTATAAGGTTCACGAGATGAATAATCTCAAATGATAACGTCATGGGGAATGTTAAAACCATCATCAGTATTACTTATATCCTCTCCTAAAAAGCTTTCAAAAATATTTCTATTTGTAGTTCTTGCACTGAAGGCCCAGCCATAGCTTCAACCATTTTAGCTTTAAAAAAAACAGCGATAACACTCAGATTAAAAAGTACTTATTAAAGTTATCAAGAAAAAGCTTGACCCGGAAGATGATTTAATTATTAATAAAAGGAAGTGGCTATAATTCAGGTTAAATATTGGATTGGAAGTTGCTATCAGGCCGTGTTTTGTATCTGCCAATTTTTTCGGCCGACCACAGTTCGTGGGTTAAACAGGGGCGTGGTCAAAATTGGACTGAGCAACCTTATGATAATGCAGGTTACTGGGGTGAGCATAACGAACATCGGACTTGACCTACATCAATGAGAATTGGCCATGTATACATCAATATATAATGCTTTTTAGTATTTAATATGAAAGGCATGTTCTTTTATAATTTGTTAAAAAAAAATTTAGGGAAAGATGCCTAATATATATAATATAAAAAGGCAAAACAGTAGGTTGGAATGTATGTCCAGATGTCCCTTATTGTGAACATGTGGAAGAATAACACAATTTTATGAAAAAATAGCCCTTGTAATAATGAAAAACCACAAACGGGCTAAAAATTAAAAACTCGAATTGCACCTTCTCCCAATTTTGATTTAGTCTCCCTAGCTTTACCAAAGGGCCTATTATGTGAATTGACTTTGGTTGTCCAGTGGTAGCAACAAACTGAGCAATCATCAGCATTTTGTATGGCCACTGTTCTTAACAAATACAATTTACATCTGTGCATAGATCGGGAAGACAGCCTCAGCACATCCAGAAGAAATTGGGAGAATGTTTTTAAAAACTAGGGGAGGAATGGGGCTGCAATCAGGTTAAAAACCCCTGTCATAACTCAATCCTAATAGTAATATCCTCAATCTGACAATCCTTATTCAATGTTATCCTTCTCTCAAATTTTGACCTACCCATCCGCCTCTGGCTAATGTTTTCTCACCATACTCCTTCCCCTATCACAAGCCATTCAAACTTTACCCTCTCATGGGTGTATGTTCCCCCCGCTACACATTTCCAAGCCTATTAATCTTTTTATTGCATGAAAACCTTCCCATTATTTCATGTTAGACCTTGAACTGTATCACTGATCCATACTTAAGAGCTTTTATCACTTGTGCTTAGCTAATTTTCTGCATGTCCACTCAATTTGTTCAAATAAGCATTTAGAGTGCAAAGCACTGACCTTTACTAAACATGCAGAGAATCCACAGACAGATCAAAAATAGTAATATTTCACACTATTTTTTAAAATCATCCTAATATCTTAAAGAACTGATTTCTAAACATGTATCCTGAAAGAACCTGTGCTCTTCAACACAGTCCTTACTGAGAGTTCCCAGTGTGGATGGACACAGAAAGAAGTCATACAGAGTGTGCTCTTTTGAAGCTATAGCGCCTAAATTATGGAACAGTTTGCCTCAATCTTTGAAGGAAATTGAAAATGATAAAAAGTCATTTAAGAAACATTTAAAGACTTTTTTCTTTAAGTAGATTTTAGGACATCAGAGCGCTGTGAGCATGCTAAAATAGCATGGACACAAGCGCTGTAAAAGTATTCAGTCATCATCATCATCCCACAAATTAATGCTATAACTGAATGTCAAAATCCAAAAGTATAAAATGACAAAGTGGAATAGATTAAGAATCAGAGGGTGCCCTTTTTCAGCAGTAAACTAATAAAATAATTCAAAAGGAACATTTTTGTTTATACAAGATCACGAAGATCCAATAAATTGCCTCCAAATACATGAACAGGTCATAATCTTTCACCTGCACACAGAGCACTTACAGCTTAATTACTTTATTCACGCCTTCGCCTCATAAATCCAAATAAAACACCAATGTACCTCCTCTGCAGGCATCCTAATGAGATAGTAACATATCACTTCCAACCGTTTTGGATTATAAAATACAGAGAGAACTCTTCTATGATTGAGTAAACGGAAACGCTTTCTCCCCAAACATACCAAGGAATGAAGTAATTGTTTACCATTTTATCCAAATTCACCCATCAACTCTTTCTTTGCCCAGCACTCTGTGACTTACACCTTAATTACATACCACAAATACCATCTACACTTTTACCCTACATACTGTGCAGACAAAGAGCAGCTGCAGATTGTGTGAACATTTTTAACCAAGGCCTTATGCCAAAGGGTTCATTTCAAGGTGCCTGAATGGGAATGATAATGAACAACATAATTACTGTTATGAATTTCTAGTGGATTTTTAAAAAATTAATCTATTGTTATTTCTCACTTATTTCAGGAAAAACTTAAATTAGTGACAGTTCTTGGTGCTGGATTGTTGGTTGGCACTGCCCTTGCAGTTATTATACCAGAGGGTGTTCATGCAATGTACTCAAGTTATGAAGGTTAGGTATAGAAATAAGCATAAATAGGATTGTATTTGTTTTATTATTTTTGTTTCTCCAGATATTGGTTATTGAACAAAATGGAACAGTTTTCTTTATTAAATGTCTTTCAGACTGAAATTTAAATGTAGAATAGATCTTGTGGAATCATTGAAATCATTAACCTATTTTAAAGAAAACATAATAATATGTTTCAATTGAGTATATTTGATCTGAAAGTTTTTCTTAAATATTATCTCATTAGCCCACGAGCATTCACATGATCATGCAAGAGAAGCTGAGCCCATTCAAGCATCTGATGCTGCAAAAAATGATAAACAAGGGAGCTCTGCATTAAAAGATCCAGCCTCACAGCTTGAGCACCATCATGAGCACAGCAAACCAGACGTGCATTCTATTATAGGCGTTACCCTAGTTATTGGGTTTATTTTCATGTTGTTGGTGGATCAGATAGGGGGGAGCATGCATTCCCATGCGATTTCTTCAGACCCAGAGACGGCGAGTCATGGACAGAGTAGAAATAAAATTACAGCCACACTTGGACTTGTTGTCCACGCTGCAGGTTTGTCATTTTAATTAAAGCATGTGCATAAATTAAAGATACAATTAGACGTAATAAATGTATATAAACCCTTAACAAAAGGATTACCAGTACTTTTGTAAACTTATCACTATGTTATAGTCGGGGGTGGATTGAGTGACTGAACTGACCCCGAAGATTTTTATGAAAATGCTCCAGCTCTCCGGACTAAGTAACCATTTACTGTGAATATTGTAATAGGCTCGGGTCTTTGGTATCATTAATCACTAAAGGCCGAAGAATATTTAAATAAACTTATATAATTGATTTTTTCTATTAATAATAAGTCTATCTCATTGGTTGGCAAACATGGTAAATTATGCCAAATAAGGTAAAAATGGAAATCTTGGGGACAATGAGGAAATTAATAATAATAGAAATAATAAAATAACTTTTTTTTTTTTGATATAACAAATTTTTTTCTGGCAATAATGCATCTGGCCAATGTAATTGTCAAACGCACCTAATAACTTGTGTATACTAGTGTCTACCACACATTATTTTTGCCAAGTCACCTATATTATCATTTGCACAGTAGCGTCACAAGAATTTATTCCATCCAGTGCTGTAAACTCTTGGTGTCAACCCATCCAGACTTCTCCGTGGACCTCCTCAAGTCACCCTGCTATCTTGACACATTGCTATTAAGGCAACTTGCTCTGGTGGCACCCTGCTCTTGTATTAAAATTAGATGTATTATGAAACCAACTTGATCCATCTCTGTCAAATTTACTAATGTTCATATGGTGTAATCCCTTTGAAAAGGGTGTCTAACCCCTGTGAGGATGTCCTGGGTGTGGTCAACACTCCCACACTCCTAGTGAGGTTGTTGCCTATGCTCAAAACATTAATAGATGTAGAGATTGTCAAAGCTGCTCATGAAGAGGCAGAAAAAAATTGATGCCTTTTGCAACAACCTACCTTTGCCAACAAGTATTTTTCTCACAGATGAACATAAAAGCATAGAAATCAGTTACTTAAACCCAAAGACAGTGCCCAAATTTCTCTGATTTAACCTAGCCCCAATTTTTATGTTATTGTATAAAAATGAAACTTCATTCAAAATTTGAAGCGAATATTTTTCAAAGAATTCCCTTTATTAACTTATTTAGTACTTGAAAATTTAAAACTGCATTCTTTGTAAAAATATATTTTTGGGGGTAATGGCAAAAATTAAAATTAAAATAATGTACGAAATGTAAAAAAAATATACAAATGAGAGGTTAAATAAAAATATTGATCATATGGATTTAAAGATATTTCCATATGTTTAGCCAGGCCATCAATAATTTGTCACTCTATCTGGTTCACAGTTAATCAGAATAAATGCTTCCAATTTCTTTCCAGTTAAAAAATGTGCACTTAGAGTTTTTGAAAGTTTCATACGAAATTCCATCAAGTTTATCGATGCTCCTAGGATTGAGGCATGACATACTTGCTGCTTTCTTGCCATATCATTTCAATCTTTTGCGAAAACTATTCAATTGTTTTAATTGGTTTATCATCTGCATTTCTCCAACAAGCAATTTTTGTTTTCTAAAATGCACTGGCGGAACGCTCCCTTTCAAAACCTAACTGGACAGTCGCCCCTTTGGTAAATTTTAGAAAGTGAAATTCTTGTGAAATGTTTTTCAAAACTTTGCTGTCTTTTTTTCCAAAGCTTTCATTTACAAAGTAACAAATATTTTTTCTGTAGATGGTAGCGACCATCTATTTTTTCTGTAGGTGGTAGCGACCATCTATTCGGGCCAAAAAACTATCAGGTGAAGTCGATCTTCCCCAGTTATAGTAAATCTTCATTTCTTATTTCAGATTCATTTTTTTTAGAAAAATAAGATAGCTACGGTATGCACAAATCTGAAATTACAAATATATTTTCAGCCGATGGTATAGCCCTTGGAGCCGCCATATCATTATCTGAAACTCACATCACCATGATTGTTTTTATAGCAATCATGTTGCATAAGGTAATTTCTGTATAGTGTTATGTATTTAATGCTGTAGAGTTCTGATTATTCTGCTTAACATGCACCATGAAAATTTGGGTAATCAGATTATGTTAAAAGAAAATTCACCAGCCTAGCTTTACCCTTGACATTGTTTTATTGCTTACTTTAACCCAGAACTTTACACTCAAAACTTTTTGTCTTACTACATACATTTCCCAAAAGTTTATTTTTATACTAAACAACTTAAACATCAGTGACAAAGCAGGCATTATACTGATGAGTTAACAAAATCTTAACTATGTCTGAAAACCAACACAGAATGTTTTTTCATGAAATGGAAGTGGTGTTGACTTTACTTACACTGATGAAAAAATGCATAAGCGTCACTAAACAGGGGCTGCCATGAAGTCCTCAAGGGGGAGAAAAGGGGTGGGAGGCATAAAGAAAAGAGAAGCAAAGGCCTAAATAGGAAGTCTTGTACCACGGGAATGAAATGGACATTGTGAGCATGAAGACTAACAGAGTAATGGAGAGACATCATTGATAGATTAGAACCTTAGGGTGCTACAGAATTTTGTTGGTGACAATGGCGGTGCAGGGAATAGGGCATACTTAACAGAATGATACCTGGTTCTTTTTCAAAATACATTTGCTCCCAAGACTATCTCACAATCTAAGAGTACCAGTACATGTACATATATATATATATATAGTTTGTCAGTCAAAGTCGATTATGACCACCTTAATTATTGTATATGCTAATTGGGAGCTCGGCTGTGGGTGCACAGTTTGCAGATGAGGCCAATTATAGCACAAAATGTTCTTGTGCAGGGTATTGATGGGACATCTCCAGGTGCAGAGTTTGGCATGTCTTTTGTTAAACAAATACATACAAGTGAATATGCCTAGTAAAATTTCTTTCTATAATTTGGAATCTCAAATAACTGAAGTTGCTTAACAGAGACTCCAGTGTACTTATTGATCTTTTTTTTTTTTTTAAGCAGTTAAAAATTGAAGGATATCAGCTTTTATTGTGACTTATAAATATTATACAACAGAAATGTATTTTTAACTGTCATGATATGTCCATTCAATTTTTTATATGCTAATAAGTTTTCTCCTTTTAAATATTTTAATATTAAATTTCTTAATGCTGTGCTCTATCCTCGCTGGAAATAAATGTAATAATGTTGAATTATTTAATTTATTATTGTCAGGCTCCTGCAGCTTTTGGTTTGGTTTCCTTTTTAATGCACGAGGGATTGGATCGAACAAGAATAAGGAAACATTTGGCAGTATTTTCTGCTGCTGCACCACTTTTAACCATTATAACTTACCTTGGCCTAAGTCAGGTAAAATGCCATCTAGATATGTAAATTTCAAAATAATGACAATTGAACTAATTTTTTGACAAAAATTTAATTGTTAACTACATAAGACTATGCAATTCTATTTCTCACTAAGTTTGTGAAAATATAATTTCCATATTTTTTTTAATTTAAAAAGTCTGGATATCTCTCTGGCATTTAATATTTAATTAGCTTAGAATTATTGCAGTCACCACCATTAAAGATATACAGGACGGCAAAATAATAGATTATCTTTATTGGGAGATATGAGCACTGCGCTCCAGATTTCGCAGAACTCTCAAATAATACAAGATGCAATCTCTAATTTAAATATTTTTTGTCTAATTTTCAGCAAAGTAAAGAAACATTGTCAGATATGCAAACAACAGGGATTGCAATGTTGTTTAGTGCTGGGACATTTTTATATGTGGCCACTGTTCATGTCCTTCCAGAAATTTCTGTAAGCCAGACACAGCATAAGGCAGCAGATGGAACTGTAATTATTCGAGAGCAGAAAGGTTTCAAGAAATTGGAGCTTGCAGCCTTAGTGTTGGGTGCACTTTTACCTGTTTTTTTAGCTGTGGGTCATAAGCACTGATAGTCTCCCCCTATTTTTTTTTAAATACTATATTGCGGTTGAATATTGGAATCATTGTTATGTACATATTAAATTATTTTTATCCAAATGTCATTAAGTACCATATTAAATTTGTTATATGTTTGTAATTGTAAGCTAATATTGAAACTATATTAAAAGAAAAGGGAGCCTTCTGTCATTTTTAAATTGACAGGTTTATGTTTCAACTCCTTTCAGTTTTGTGGAGATTTAAATCATTTTTTAAAAATGAGTAAGCATGTGCATAAACTATTTTTGGTAATGAGGTCATAAGCTTAAGTACTTGAGTTAGTAAAATCAAGTTTCTCTTTCAAGCAATGTAGACAAAAACAGGAGTCTTAAAATGTGTTAATAAAGTGTTATAATTCATAGCATGTTGGTTTGCTAATTGTATAAATGAAAGCTTTGTTGTTCAAGAGCTAATTTAACTCCTCAGTATAAAAAAATAGTATTTTTGTTACTGTAAAGTAAGCATTTAACATTAGCCTAAAGCTCAAAATTAATTATTTCTTTCTAATTATTTACTTACATTGAGTATTAGTCTTTCTTAGACTGGAACTCTTAGTTTACATCATCAATATTTTTTTTTAAAGTCTTGTCTCTTTTATTTCCAGTGATTAGATGGTTGACTGTTTCAATGAGTCTTTTAAATGTATAATTTTTCTCCTAATAAAACATATTTAAATATATTATTTTCATCTAACTTTCTATTCCTGAGGTTAAATATTACATAGTGAAATTTTTGTTGTTGTTTCTTTTGACATGTATTTTTTGGGAATACCGTAATGTATTAATGTATTCCTATACACTGCAACAAATTAAGAGGAAGAAAAAGTTGCCTTGAGAAAGAAAAAAAACAACCAAAACGCTTTTTATATTTATATGTTGAATGATGATTTCATAGATAGCTTTTGTGAATGAACGAACTATTCATTAGACATTAATTATATGGACTCATTGCACATATTTTATAAATATCACTTGTTCTTGATGTAATAATAACTAGTAGAATTTACAGCTTACAGTTCATTTTATTAATTTTAAGCAAACCATAGAATTAAAACAATGCTTTTCTGTTGATGACTGTTTTTTAATTACAAAACAAACCCTTATGTTAAAAACAACTTAACAAATTAACATGTCAGAAAAACATTTAAGGTTAATTTCAAATTGTTAAGTTGTTTTTAACATGTCTTTGTTTTGTCATAAAAATAGTCATGTCAAGAGTATCCTTTAAAAAAAAGTTTAACATGCATCCCTCTCATTACTAAACATTCCATTATTAAAATTCTTTGTTATAAGTGTATTTGGTCTAAAACTATTTGTGCTTAAAAAAAATAGTAGTCATTCATCAAAGTTCTACTGCCCCATAATTGATTAGCTGTGCTCATTTAGGCCACTAGGCAATTTGATAATCAAATTGTGAATTGGTGTGTGACAAAATAAGCAACCTTTTAAAATTAATGTAATAAATTTTTAACCAGGTGTCGAGAATATAAATTTTACATTCAACATTTGTTTGATGCAATTAATTTTAGTGGTACCCGGTATTTTTTTTATGCAACATGGAATCTCATGTAATAAGAATGAAAGCTTGGATAAAATTCTCTTCATTTTTTCTGTTTCTGGTTTTTAAAAAAAGGATTTTAATTTAATTTTCACTGATCAAATTTCATTACATGCATGTAGTAAAAATGATTGCAGTGTCTTGAATTTGGGTGTCTGAGGTTACCTTTTTATTAATATAGTTCTTTCTCTTGGGATTTCTTGGGGTTAATTTTCCAAGAGAGGGTTTTGTTGTCATTTTTTTGCCATAACTGCATAAGTAGAAGATTTAATTTGTGTTTAAAATTCATTAAAATAAATAGTCTTAAAAATTTGCCAATTTTTCTTCATTGAAGTTAAAAATCCAAATTAAGAACTTACACAAGCTTAGGGTATGGTTATTTTGCTCAAGTATGAATACCAAACAGTGATATCTATGTTTTTATAATAAGTTTTGATGTGAAAGAGTATTCTTAATGATTAATGCTCTTTATTATAACTGATCATCGATTAGTAAACCACATTCTTATGATTGGATGAACATCTGTATTAAAATTTAGCCCCTCCCAAACAATGCAGCATGCAATTAAATAATGCTTCTTGACATTTGTTACTTACTGAAACATCTGACTCATACCATGTACCATAACATGTGAATGAACCCATGATCTTTCATTCTTCAAATGTATTTTTTTTTGCTGTGACAGCATTTTTAAAAATCATGAACTGTATGTGAGTGTTTAAGTTATTTGTAGAAATGTGGTTGTAAAATATTGATGTAATCTAGACTTTTGTTCCCATAAATTAGTGGCTATCAATATATTATTTTCTTTGAATGGAAAGAAATAAATAAATACAAATTATAGACACTTTGTAATTTGTAGTTTTTCTTGAACCTTGATTGCATTGTTAAAATACTAATACTAGAATTCATTAACGATTATATGCAGATTTATTTTTGAACACTGTCTGGTCACAAGAGTGCATGGTATGCAGTAAAGCAAGAAAAAACTGTACTGGTAACCATCTTTGTAACATGTTTTTAAATCTCTGCATCATTGTTTGTCAAATTAGGTTTGTAATACTCATGTCTAGCGCAGCACCAAATTCATTTGGAGTAATGTGGACGTTATGTTCAGTTTATCATGTGATTAGTGAAGTGGCATTAGCAAAGCTTGAACTGAATGCTCCTAATATTATTAGCATGTATGAATGTAAAATGTAATGGTTTTGACATAACCATTTAATTATTAAGGTACTTACTATAAGTTATAAGCCATTTCTAATTTCTTTGATCTCCAATCTAGTTGGTTTGATCTATGTATCAGTGATAAATTGTATTAAGGAATTGGAAATAAAAAAATTGGATATGGAGTTTTGACTTCTTTTGATGTCTCCCTCACGAGATACTGTGATTACTTCAAAACCATTTTTTTCTACATCTTGTGAAATGTCAGAGAGACTGATGAAAAATTGAGGGTATGCAAAGCTTTTATTTTTATCATGTTAAATGAAGAGAGACTTCTAATTCCTCTCTGATCGTTTTTAGTTCATTACACTAAAAAAATGAATTATTTATTTGTATTATTTCATTTCTTATTAACATTAACAAATAATAATTTTAGGTTACCCTATCTACACTGTTACCCTATCTAATTAAACAAACATACTGGGTACTCATTTATGTCATGCACACACACACAAATGTTGGCAGGTTTATACTTATACAGAAAAAAATTAAGCAAAGGCATCCTAAATATGTTTTGAAATGATTTTAATATCAAAATCAGGGCAAATGACTGAAAATCAAAAAATAAAAATCAAAGTAAATATAACAATCTACATAGCCATGCACTCTGATTTCTTCAGAGTGTATTGTAAAAGTTCAAGTAATGGCACCCAATTCTTGTCTAGTAATTTTCAATGCTGGTTCATTATATTGTTACAAAGTTTATTGGAATGCTAACAAAATTGACAGCATAGAATTTATCAATATGGTCATCTAGTTAAAAATTGCTGACTTATTAATTATTGAATATCATTTTAAAAAATACTAATTTCCTTTGTTAATTTTTTTTAAAAACAAAGGTGGTGATGTTTTTAACCATACTTACACAAAAAGCCTGTATCATTATGTCACTTTAACCAGATTTATATAAATGTCAAGAGGAATAATTAAATAAACAAAAAGTGACTAATTATGACTAAACTATCATTTCTAATTCTCTGGCATATTCAATGGTTTGTTGTGCCAATAACTTGGCTGGGATTGTATGATCAGCATCTTTTGCTTCTTGGATAAAGTAAAAGAAATCTTTCTGCAGGTCCCATTGGCGCTGAAAAATTCAAATAAATACAATATAAAATTAATCTTAAAATTAAAAACATATTAATATTAAATTTGTTTTATATTGATTCAGAATGGCTCTAATTGCGAGACAAACTCGTCACCCCTGGGGTAACAAGTGCTGACACCAGTTTCAAATAAAACATTTATGGTTATTGCCAAACTGTTATGAAAGCACCCAATTTAATAAAGGCTAATAAAACCAGTAACGATTTAAAAGTTTAGTTTCCATTAAGTTTATGGATAAAGTGTAGCATTAATAGTGTAACAAGTAAGTGAATTAAAATGACCAAAAGAGTTTAGCATTAACAGTACAGTAAGTGAACGAAGTGAAGCTCCTTCGCCTATCTCCTCCACCCTACACCTCTGCCAGCATCTTCCATAAACTCAAGTCGGCTGATTTCCAAGGTAAATACACTTTATAAAACTACTTTATTTCTTTACATTCTCTTTTATTATGTTATTATACAATATTAGTCATCTATAAATGCATTTTTCTTATTCAAAAACACGTAACAAAAACAACTGAGGTAGCATTTTGGGGGCTGGAATGGATTAATGGCATTTCTATTAATTTCAATGGGGAAAATTGCTTTTAGATGCAAGCAAATTGACTTAGGAACAAGGTTACGGAATAAATTAAATTTGTATAATTCGTTATCGAGGTACCACTGTATAATACATAAGGGCGGGCGGGCAGGAAAATTAATGTATTGTTTTATCCTGGATTTTTTAAGTCTTCAATATACTTCTCCATTTGTTTACTTTAACCTTTTTTATTTTTGCCCAAGTCAACCCTCTTTTTCATTACTCATTGCAACAAGCATAGAAATATATTGTAATGGAAGTTAGAATTTTTATTTTTGTGAAGTTACCTTTGTAGCATAATCTCTTATGGGCTTCTGAGAATCAAAGAAAAGCATTCTAGCAGCTTCAGAAAGACCAATTTTGTGATATGCCTTTTCTATACAACCAGCAATTTCATCTCTGAGAAAAAATATGGGAATTAAAGGGCTGAAAACAAAATAATTGTCAACATAATTTATAATAATATAATATATACTTAACATATGCTGTGTGGCTGAAAGCTATTGAACTGGCACTTTTCATTTACTCACCTGATTGTGTTTAATAAAATATCAATGAAAAAATTATAGTTATCAGCTGGCACATTCCCCCTTGCCAAGAAAACCTGAAAAATAAAAATTATAAAACAAATAAGACAGAACTACTTCATATTATAAATTAATATCTTTTTGGACCGGGACAAAAAAATGATAACAATTGGAGTTAAGGAGATATCAGACCACTAACGATTGTAATCCATTTCAAGACAAAGCTTGATGTTGAGTATCAAGTCTTTACAGACGGTTGTGTCATTCTGAGGTCCCATCATAACATTCCACCTAAAAAAAAGGGAGGCCATACTCCACAAGAAGACCATGTTTACAATTGTGTCATTCTGAGGTCCCATCATAACATTCCACCTAAAAAAAAGGGAGGCCATACTCCACAAGAAGACCATGTTTACAATTAACGATCAGCAATTCATTAAAGCTAAAAAATTATTGAAGGAAAAAATATATCAGGGTAAAAAAACAATACAAACAAAAAAATCGAAAAATTATTCCTTACTAACAACTCAAAGGCTTGTTGGACTGGCCTAAAGCAAATAACAGGTTATACTCCATGAATGCTTGTGTGTTGAGGACGTGAAGAATTTTGTTAACGACTTAAATTACTTTTATTGTCGTTTTGACAGTCTGGACTTTGGAAGTGTACACAATGAGATGATGAATTCATTTAAAGATGGCAGTAGTACACAGGATGGTACTTTATTGTTCACCAAACACGAAGTGATGTCAGTATTTAAACAAGTGGACGCAGCCAAGGGCTTGGGGCCAGACAAATTAAGTGGTCGGCTTGTTGAACTAAGCTCAGAGCAGCTCTCTTATATTTTTTGGTTATATATTTAATAAATCTTATGTAACTCAAACAATACCAACAATTCGGAAAAACTTCAGAAATCATACCAATTCCAGAGAAAAATAAGGTAACGTCCAACGACTTACACCTGTTGCACTTACCTCTATTGTAATGAAATGTTTTCAGAGACAAATTTTGAATCAAGTACAGAAAAAACTTGACCCCCACCACTTTGCTTACAAACCTGCCAGAAGTACGGAGGATGCAATCTTACTATTGTTGGAGAGACTTTACTATCTCCTAGACAGTCCTAAAAAATATGTCAGAGTGCTATTCTTAGACTTAATCAGCATTTAACACTTTCCAACCACACCTTATGATAAAGAAACTTCTCGTTAGGTGTAAATTTAAATATTCAAGCTTGGATACTGAACTTTTTAACCAATTTACCACAATATGTCAAGGTAAATAGCCAATTATCTCTAACCAGAGAAATAAGCACCGGGGCGCCACAAGGCTGCGTTCTCTCCCCTGTACTGGATACAATACATATCAATGATATTCAAAGCTCACGCAACACCATTCCAATCTTAAATTTGCTGATGATACCACCATCGTTGGCTTAATATCTAAAGGAGAAGGCTTATGTCGCAATTTAGTTACAAGCTTTATTAATTGGTGTGATGAAAATTTTCTCCAGCTGAATGTCTCAAAAATAAGGAAATGATTTCAGGAGGGGTAAACACCAGATTACAGATCTCAACATAAAAAATCAAAGTGTAGTGAAAGTACATAAATATAAGTACTTAGGTGTCACCATTAATAATAAGCTAAAATGACCTGAACACGGCCAAATGCTATATGAGAATTCAACCAAAAACTGTTCTACCTCAAAAAACTTTACAATTTCGGCGAAACAAACAAGTCAGTAACTTATTATACAGTGCAACAATTGGAAACCTACTGAATTTCAATATTACCTGCTGGTGTGGGAATTCAACGTCTGATATTAAACACCGCATAAACCGACTAATCAAGAAAGCTAGGAACATAACACAAACTAAACATCCTTCACTTGAAGAACTTTTTGAAGAAAGATGTTTTTGTAAAACTAAACACATTTTGGATGATACATCCCACCCTCNCCATCAGGGCGAGGACAGAAATATATAAAAATTCTTTTGTTCCCCAATCTGTATGAATTTACCATCGTGCTCCCCCTGAAGTCACAAATCTTAATGAGCACTAATAGGTCCCTGATATGGCTAAGAGAACTCACTGAATGGATATTTTTTTTTTTTTTTTTTGCTAGTGAAATAACATAAACATGCAACAAAATGAATGATGTTTTATAATCATAATAACAAATTGAACTATTTAAAGAATAAACTTTTAATGATAATATCTAAAGTTGACTCTGTGCATTTTCACAAGTTTGGCAGTCATCACCATGGTCATTGCCAACCACCAAAATTATTATCTACTGATGTATTGATTTTAGTCTGTTTCAGAAATATTTTAACCTATAAGATCATTGTTACCAACTCCCTCAGTATTCTGACAGGTTGTTCATTGGCTCAAAATGTCTAAAGGTTCTTCTGACACATGGCTTCTTAATAATTACAACATTGAATATGCACTGTCCATGTCCAATTTTTTTCCTCTTAATTCAGAAAAGTAACACACTGACCACTCTAATGACAACTCAACATACTATAACTGTAACTAATAACTCCACAAATTAACCCCACCCCGTTTTCGAACACCTTTTAAAGAACTCACTTGTTTATTGACATTTGACACTTCCTCCAGTAACACAACTAGCCCCAGGTAAACAACTGGCCCCTTAACTCATCTCATTCCATCCACAACCAATCACACTCACAAATCCAGTTCATAGCAATCCTCCTTATTCATTTCTTCATTAATTTCAATAAATTTTATCTGTTATATAATTTCATCATCTAAAATTGTTAGTCTAGTGAACATCGCATGTTGTTTTTCATGAGCTTGGAAAGCCATGCTGGACTTAAACTTTTTAACAAAATAGAAACATGTTGATTTCTTTTTCAAACATGAGCATCATTCATTCTCATGAGAGCAGCAGTAAATTTTAGCAGATGAATGTAATTTATTAAGAGTTGCTAGGTGCTTCAAACAAGCATCACACATAACAACCTGCTAAGTATGCCACCATCTAAGAGTAATAGGCAGGCGCAAATGGTAATATGGGGTTAAATGAAGTGAATCTAATGTATTCTTATTTTTAAGCTGACATACAATATTAAGAATTCTCTAGTATTGTAAGCCTTTCATTCTTGATGTTAGGTATATAACAAAATTTTAAAACATCTCTAATGAAAAGTAAGATGTTTCATACCTTGTTATAACTTCCTTCCATCAGATACTGTTCCATGCTGACTGGATGTTTGATGTAAACATTGTTTTGAATCTCTTTTACAGGCAAACGCTCCAATTCCTATCCAAAGGAAATAATCAATAATCAATTGTATTCTTTAAAATAAATATCAACTTTTCTTTTTTACAAATTATTTTCATGAACTTTGCTACCAAAATTAAAGCCTTATACAGTGGTTCTGAAAAACAGTTACTTACAGTATGAAATTCAGCTAATCTGTTTTGAGAGAGAAGACACAAAAGGTTGAGTCCCAAAAGCTGATACTTGTAAGTGGATTCAGGAAGATCATCTCTGGCAGAAAGAAATTTTCAGAGAAATAATAACCCCTAAAGCTTTTCATTATTTTCATACCACTATTGTAACTAGGACCCTACATTTGGTACCCAGTACGTAATAAGTTATTTTACACATTATTCAAAGTGTTTGGGACAATCTATATAAGAGACATGAGCCACTGCAAGTATTTGAATACAACCCTCACAGGTAGTTATGAACTGCTTTTAATCCTAAAATTCATAACTGATTTCCTAGGTTCACAAACTAGAAACAATATGGAAATGGAAATGTTGTTTCATCTATTCAATCACAAACAAAATTATGTCCAATATTTTTTTAATTTCTTTTTTAATTAAAATTAATTAGTATATGCAAAGCATACTATTAACAGTTTGAACTCTAGCGTTAAGAATTGTAGTACTAAATTTTTAAGTAAAGGAATACATTTATTTACACTATTGTTATAAAAGTTTTCTTTTTTTTAATATGCACATTGAAATTTTTTTGTTTAAAAAGGCATGAAATAATTTCACCTGATAACAGCAATAAAACTCACTTATAATCCATGTAGTAACATTTTAACTGAGCCATGTATCGTTCAAAAGCAGGGATATCTTTTTTAGCTATAGCCCATTGTGCTCCGATTTCTAATATGTCACCTGAAAGTAAGCAAAATAGTTAGTTTACATGTTTCTCATTTTGAACAGATGGAGTTGGTAAATATGAAGTATTACATTTCAATTCTATTACATTAATATTGAGTTTTACTTTTAGAAACAATTTAAACCTCAATACTGAATTATATAACTAGAAGAATAGTGACCCTGATGAAAATTAAAATGTTTTATAAATAAGAACTTGAAATTTTGAGATACAAAAGTATTTCAAATACTAAATTTAATGACAATGTAGAGAGAAATTACTTACGAGCAATGAGCAGTTCTTGTTTAGAAACAGATGATTCATTTGTTGGCAGGAATGCTACTTGGGTAAGGGCTAGCTATTTTGTTAAATACATAAAGCAATACACCATAAAATAAAATATTATGATACCGGTAGCAATGATAAAATTAGTATTTGCTTCTGAAATTAAAAGTATTTATTTTCTTTGGAGACCAATACTTAACAAGATCATATTTTGAAAGGGAAGTTAATGAAAGAGAGTAACTGAATACCCTTAAATTCTTCTTTACAATAAACAATATTAATATCTTTGTAAATATTTGTTTGAAATACCAGTAGTTGTACTTTTTCTGGTACACTAAATTATACCATATCTTGCATCAAGATGATATGACACCAGCATGCTATTATAGCTTTGGTTAACATCCACACTATAACAAAGCCAGTTAAAGTAAAAAATGGGTAGTGGATATTTCATGTTGCTGGGATCTGAGCACCTATCAGTGATCAGCATATGTGACCTTGTGTTTACAACTGATTTTGACACTCAAGTTCCCCATTCACAACCTTATTTGTTTCTGGTTCCCTTTCTTAGTCTCCATTTTATTAAGTGACCTATGCAATCTTAATTAGACAATTAATATATGGATGAGATACACCATGTTTGTTTTTAGTTTATATTCACTTTACAATGACAGTGAGAAGAAATCCAAAAGGAAAATATATTATTAATTAGTCTAGGTCCTAGTAGCCTGTCTTACTATTAGGCCAAATTTAATTTTTTTAAAGTAGGTTTAGTTCAGCAGACTAAGTTAGGCATACTTTTTAGACTTTTAGAATAGATTTAATTAGGACTATTTTGTAATTTCTCAGTATAAAAAAATGTTTATTAAAAAAATTAAGGACGTAGAACTTATTATTATGCTAAAAATCGACTATAAAAGGCTGACCAACAACACCTTTTGTAAATTAAAAATTGGAGGTCACCATTTTTACAAAAAAGTTAAGATATCCGATTTTCTGGAGTTTTCTGGGCGATACCAAAGTGCCTACTACCTACTCAACTTGAAGTTAACCAAAAGTGACAAAAGTAGGCACCGCTACTTCAGTAAAAAGGAATAAAAATATTACAGTTATATAGAGCAAATTTCAATTCAAAGAAAAAATGAAACCAGAAACAACTTTCAGGCATTAGTACAGTGGTTCTCAACCTTCCTAATGCTGCTACCCTTTAATACAGTTCCTCATGTTGTGGCAACCCCAAAATTATTTTAGTTTCTACTTCATAACTGTAGACTATATGTTTTTTTCGATGGTCTTAGGCGACCCCTGTGAAAGGGTCATTTCCACCCCCAAAGCGGTCGTGACCCACAAGTTGAGAACCGCTGCATTAGTACTTTTCGAGCGACGAATTTTTAAATTTCGATTATGTTTAGAGTTTAGAATATTTTACTATTAACTACAATTCCACATTTTGTGACCCCATTCCGCTGATCGCGTCCTGACAATAACTCTTGTTTTAATGATGATTTTATACATCTTTTATTTTCAGAATTAATGCTGTGGTTGGGTATGCCGTTATACAATAATAAATTGTAACTTATCTAATTATTATGCACTATGTATTTCAGTAAATTTAATAAAATATATTAATATATGGCTTTCCTGTTTACCAAGTCTATGGCATTCATCATACCTGCATAAACAATATAGTCTATAAACTCTATATAAGGCACCGCATCACCTAAGCCTGATAATAGTAATTTACTAAGCAAAACTTCGAAGTGATTATTCACAGAGCTGTGCGGATAACGCTCGCCGTTATTCACAGATTTCGGTCTGCCGATAACGCTCGACATTATTCGCAGAATGTGATAAATTAAATTATGAATATAAAATACAAAGTTAGTATGTAAAGATCTCCTCGGTAGTGTAGTGGTCAGTATCTCCGCCCGTCACCCAGCAGACATAGGTTCGATTCCCCGTCGGGGAAGCCTCATTTTTATAAATAAATTTTTTTTAAAAAAATATTTAATGGATATATCATAGTGTTATATTATTATAATATTCTTCATATGGCTTTCTTATTCTGTTCACATAGTTTTATTATTATTTTCATATAGTTTTGTTACTTATGTTACAAGTTTCAATCTATTTTGTTAGAATGTTCATTCAAGTTTTGTCAAAAAACTGTTAACAACATGGACATGCAGATGAGCCGCATAAACCATGTTTAAGTCAGATACAGCTGTTCTAACTGTACGTTGTAATATACTTTTAGCTGTTTTGACTGTTTAATTTTCTTTGTATAATTCACTCATAGACTTTAACATCCATTTGTTTTTTCTCTAATAAACAAATACTTATTAATAACTTACTTATTCAAATATTTTAGATCTCAGAGTTGTGTATTAATGTTTAGCTGAAAAAATATGTCACGTTTTATTTGTTTCATTTTATTTTCTAATAAGTATCATAATAAGTATACAATATGCCGCTCCAGAAATAGTTGAAATAACATTTAGTGATGACAATGAAATGAACATACCGGTACTGTACTTAAAACATATCAATATCATTGACATCAACAATTTTAGCTCTTGTAAAAAAAATGTTGATAATTGAAACAAAAAGCCATACTGCCACTGTTGTAACTATGGGTCTAAATATAAAAAAAAGCATAAAAAAATTAATTGGAACCCTGCTGGTCGTAGGATGCATTGCGAGTCTTTGGGAAGTAAAGTTCCCTTGGGGCAATTGAAGCAGCGTTTACAAGTGGGAGTGTATTGCCAGCGCAATAACCAGCCAGCTTTACTTTTCCCCAGCTAAGGCCAGAGCTGGGTAGACTTAGGGACACCCTCAGGGATCAGGAAAAAATACTAGCCTTAAACAGGATTAGATTCTGTTATTATCGATGTAGGGCCTATATGCCCCTCCCCGTTTCTCACATGGTCGCCTGATGGAGACACCTCTCTGCATCATAACACTGTTGCACTGCATGTCAACTATTTCTGACAGAACATTTCTGGACTATGTGATATATCATAGTGCTTTAAAAAAACTAAACGATATCCTATCAAGCTTTGACATCATTTAAAGACATCTCTACAGTGGGTGAAAGTGAGTCTACATGAAGAATACCGGTACCATATTTATTACTGGTATAACATTTATTATGAAATACCAGAAAATTAGCTATGTCTAGGAGTAGGAGGTTTGACTGGATCTATTAGTAACACTCTATAGGTCGAATATGTTGGCCCCTAACAGAGCAGATGTAGGCACAATTAAATGTCCTATATCCAATATATAGGCTATAGTTAGGCCTATTACATTTTTTAAATTTAACTTGTGCATACCGGTAGCTTCGGTTTTGAGATGTGTTTGTGCCATTCTCATTAACGATCGAAATATCCTACGCCTACACTACTTAAAACTACACCCCTACCCCGGCTTGGAATGTGATCTTAATTATTTCTAGAAATGTGCGTAATTATGGGAACATTTCTGTCTAACAATAACGCTCTGCATTATTCGCAGTTTTGGTCTGCCGATAACGCTCGGCGTTATTCGCAGATCTCGGTCTGCGGATAACGCTCAACGTTATTCACAGAGCTGTGTGGATAATGCTTCCCTAGTAATAAATCAAAAGCCAAAAAACTTGAAAAAGTAGGGCCTAAATAAAGTTAAATACACCAAAGTTAGGCATTAATTATCAAGTATTTATTAATAATAGGCTATACAGGTCTATATAATTTATCTATAATTTATTGATAATTTACAGGTATATTTTTTGAAGTCAATTTAGTCAAGAAGTCGGATGACGGTGCGAACTAGAGCTGCTGAGTGAAATGTTTACCCTAAAAACAACATAATCAAAATTAATTATTACACCAATATTTATTTTGCATATTAAAGTATGAAGTTATTACTTTAAGTTTCGAAAGCAATTCTCCAGATTTCTCTAAATTTGGTGGTTTTGAATCCCAGACACGTTTTAAATTTTGATATATTCCAACAATCTCTTTCAAGTTAGCAGCCATTTCACTTTTTGATCTGCACACAATAAAATACTACTATTTCATTTGTTAAAATTAGTGGAACTGCGACTTTATTAGAACCGCAGCTAAAGGAGCATGAGTTTGTTATTGGTCTAAATTTTTTCCACATGCAACTTCCTGTTGTGATATTTAATAATGATTCTAATTGTAAAGTTTGGTGCATTGGAAGTTATCTAAAAAAAGATTTTTGTTTAAGCATAAATATATGCAAGATGGAGAACGATGTTCTTGATTCACTGGAAGATCTTGGGTATAAAATTCAGTGATTGACATACACCCAACTAACAACTAAGTCTCTTATTAATACATAAGATGAATATTATTATTATTATAGGAATGGAATGAATAGGACAGATAATCAATAAAAATAAGATTTAACAATTTAACCATTAATTTAATGTAATGATTAAGTTACTTAGAGTTAGAGTACTTTAAGTTCAAGATGTGAATCAAAATCAATGAATACATCCTAGCTTTATTATTAATAATATCTTATATATATTTTGATTGTGGTGTGGCCCTCCCCCTACTCAACATGTTTTATATTAAAATAGTGAGGGTCATACGTGACAATTGTCAATTGACGTGACAATTGTCAATTGACGAATTGAACACACTTAATCTTAAAAAGGTTGAATTTTTCAGAGGCGACTATTATATCAATCAATAAAGAGCCACGGGTATTATGGTTATAGGACTGTCTCTGCAGGACTATTGTTTAAATGCTGGCAGATACGGTGTAGGCTGTAGGCGTATGACTATTGTTTAAGTTTAAGGCTGGCAGGTAACCAAATCCAGCCAGTAGTAGTGTTTCAACTACCACATCGGAACACTTGACAGGCTATTTAAACATTGATAGTATATAAAAATCTGGACATTTATATTCTTGAAATATTTTATAAATCGGTCAAGGAATATTCAATATTTTTTTTTTTTAAATGTTTTTATCAGTTTGATTAAAGTACTTAAACTTAAACATTTAAGAATTTGCATTAAAAAAAAAAAGCTTTGAGAAATGATTCAATGCACCACACAAATCAACTAGTCATGAATGCAATTTTGTTTATTTTATATCACTAAATAGATTCTTTTGAATGAAATTTTGTTTGAAACCTGTCTAAAAGATAATGGGGAGTTGTTCTCCTTTGGTCGGTGTTTCAATGGATAAAATGACAGATAGCCCATTGTTGAATGGTTTACATACGGGTACTTAAGATGAAAACTGCAGATACTTCATTTAGTAAAGTATAGCAGCCTTTTCTAACCTGGGATGCTAACACCGACAAGGGGTGCAATGAAGCACTTCAGTGGGTACAAGGAACATATGAGCCATTGACTTGGGCTTGGGAGTAACGATATTAATTTTTATGCATATTTTTTAGTTTCCTAATTTACAAATTTACTTTATATAATAAGTCACAAGTTTATTTTTGTAATATTTACAGTTCTCTTTTTAAAACAAAAAAGAATTTCTATTTTCAATTTTAAAGGGAGTGTTACTTTTTTGAGGATGTGAAACTTAGTCAAACAATTTGTAGGGCTGCAAATATAGAAAAGGTTCGGAAACCCTGTAGTAAAGCCAAAACTAAAAAATTTCAAGCTTAATTACTATTTGGCTATCCCACTACTTCAAATACATTTTAGCAGGGTTGGTGGGGGGGGGGTGTACATACATAATACATAAAGGCTGTAAAGACAAGTTTTTACCTCTTCCATCAGTGAAGTGGCCACTTTTCATATGGTCTGTTGTGTGAACCTTTATGGAAGTCCACGTTTATTTAGATGGCCACTTTTCATAGGGTGGGTGGGGGGGGGGGGTGTACATACATAATACATAAAGGCTGTAAAGACAAGTTTTTACCTCTTCCATCAGTGAAGTGCTCTTCTTAAATAAAAACTTCAATATCTGGTGGACAGATTAGTAATTAATAATCCATTTGTTTATTTAAAATTATTTATTAAAAATCACTTTAATATCAAACATCAATGTTCATAAGCCAGATTTTTAATGATCTGTTTTTTGTTCATTTCTCAATGGGGGAGATAGCATGTATGTTAAAATATGATGATTGTCTTTTTATCTCTACTTTACTTCGCTAAAATATAAGTAAGTTGATTATAACTATTGTGCCTAAGCCTTTTTATTTATTTATTAAAATAGGACGGTAGATCGTCATAAAGTATAATAATAATAGACCTAGGCCTACATAGATATAATTTAGATTATAGTATAGAGCAGGCCTGCACAACATACCAGCAGGCACTTTCCAACCCGCTAAGTAACGAAATATTCTTTATACTTATTATTTTCTTATAGCATTCCCCCTCTCCTATTTTCTTTTGGCCCGCACAAGTTTTTCATAAAGCATTACGGCCCGCCTTACATTTTTAGTTGTGCAGGCCTGGTATAGAGGCATAAGGTGGTACTGGGTTGTATTTTTGTGTTGAAAATTCAATACCCGGTATGGTTAAAATGAAATAGTGTATTTATTTGACAAAATTATTAAAGTCTAGGCAGGCTGATAACAGGTAAATAACTAAAAATGCTAAAATTGCATCATTTTTTTGTATAACCTTTCTTTAATTAATGAAGCTAAAACGCTATATTAACCCTTTAAAAATTCAACCCAGGCCTTGCAGTTGAAAATTACAGAGAACTATTTACATGTCTTTGGGAAGCATTTGTCACTAAGGAATTTCCAAAACTATGATTTAAACTTCTGTATTATTGCTGTGTAGTGTATGATAGGTTCTTTGTATTTCATTAATAATTAATCTGAGGCCCACTTATGGTTAAAATAAAGCTAGTAAAACAACAAATGCCACTAAGTTTAAAATGTTTAAATTTAACATACTGGTAAATGTCAATATATGTTGAATGGTTTGTGATTATGTTTGATGCTTAAATTGTAGATATGATGGTCCTCTTCTGGATGATAAAGCGCTATCTGAGGCAGTAGAGACTGGAGCAAAGTCTGTTGCATACACACAGTTGGTAGAATGGGTTGTTTCACAGTTGGCAAGTTTCTGTAGCATTGATTCTAAAGTTTCAGCCATACAAGGTATTCAATTCCAGCAGTGTTAGTTGTTGGTTTAATGTAAAATTCAATACTGTTTCCTTGTAATGCACCAAAAAGCACAATTTTAGATTAAAACTTCTGATAAACCAAGAACTAACTTTAACTCTTTCATCAATGGGTACAATATACCAATGTGCCGGAGAGTATTTCTGGAATTTTTATTCATGTCACACATGAATTTAATGGTAATATAGATAGCCACAAAAGTATACAAGCTGTGTAAAAATTAAAGTTTAATTCCTGAATTATGTTTTATGTGTTTACTAATTGATCTGTAACTAATCAATAAAGTGTTTTAATTTTTCAGGACCAAGTGACTCTGAACATTTCCTCTTGGAAATAAGTGGATTTCTACGAGAATTCTGTAAGTGAAAGTGACACATCTCTGCTGCTTTGACACCTAAAAAACAACATTGAATTTATTTAAAATGTGCAATATTTATAATTTATAGCTTTTTCTTGTTTTCAAAGCATGTTATTCTTTTTAAAAAAACTTTTAATAATGCTGTGTTTTACAGTAGATCTCTTATGTTTAGGAAATCTAATGATTAATTTAACTCTCCATAGCATGTCCTTATGCAAATCTAACTGAAGGGCCTGTAGATGGTAGGCTTTCTTCAAAGAAGGCATGTTTACAACTATTGGGTGAGTTCTAAATATACAACTTTTTGTGGGAAAATACAAATATTTGTATTCTGATGGGTTTTTTTCTTCTTTAGTTATGTTCTTGTTGTCCATTTGGTGCAGTCATAGCATTGAATGCCTCTTGACCAATAGCCGGTTTGAATCTGCGTCTTCCTTCCCACCTAACTTGCTGTGGGATTAAAAATTGTGTCTACACAAAGATTGATTAGTCTTAGTTAAATTTTAGTGGTGAAAAACAAATCCACAATCTTTAAAAAATATTATTTTTTCTACATTAAGTATTTCATAAATTTCCTGTACAGATTTGATGAAAGTATTATTTGTTTTCACACCACTGCATGTTTTGTTATTTCATTTTTTTTTTAAAACTGTAACTTATTATTTCACAGATTATCTATTAAGCGAATTAACTAGTGTGAAAATGTTGGCGGCTAAAAGGCCATTAGTGCTTGCTGCATTGTCAAAAACGTCTTCAGAAATTGCACAATTGGTTAGTTTTGTGTACATTAAGTTTGTTGTGACTTTAACATGATAGTAGAAAATAAAATAAAAAATTTTTTAATTTTTTTTTTTGTGTGCAATTTTTTAAGAAAATATCTTTAAATGTTGATTATTTATAATTCCACACTGTTAAATTTTCTTTTGTGATATAGCTGGCTCACAAGTGTTAACAATCTTCACTATTTGTATATGACATTATTGTGGTGTGTTAATGTCAGCTAGTCTATTTATGAACATTTATGTGACTATTTCATCCTGAAGACTGAATCAGAAGTTGCCAGATACCTGAAGATAGCACTAGTGACTCTAAAATTCCCAAAACCTCCACCTAACATCACAGCTTTTGACCTTTTCAGTAAAGTTGAAGATAAGGTATGACATATACTTTACACATTACTACTTTCAAGACCTACTGTGTATGTGTAGATCTTAATTAATAGAAAAATGTAATTTAACATAATATATTTCTCATGCAGCAAAAAGAAGGAAAAACTAAAGAGCACCCAGGTGTCATTTTATATTTTATAACCAGAAGAGAAGACCTTGGCTCAAAAAATAAGTATGAAAGTTCGTAAGGGTTAATCACTTACTTGTTACGGGATGATCTCAGTTATTTGAGTAGGAAGAGTTTAATTGCTATGAAGAAATTCTCAAATTAATCCAATCTAGTTATTTATCTAATGAGGCATTCCCCTGGACTAAGACTTATATGCCAAAGGCTAGATGTTCCAATAGAAAGGGAAGTGGGTATATAAATTAGCTTGCTCTGGTGATGCTTTTAGGAGCTGGGTGTGTAACTTAACCCTTCCCAAATTTTACATCCCTTGTTGGGGAAGAGCAGTTTGGGGGAGGGGGGACGCAATAATTGGAGACTACAGGTCATTCATTAAATCTTAAATCCTATTAGGACTTTATGCTGTATCTAAATTTTTAAATGGCCCTCCAGAGAAACCGTCCCTTACGGGTTTTCTATTTAACAAACTTTGGCAGCGTGGAAGGCATCCTGGAGTTAAAAGTCCTGTGACTGCCGTTTCTTTTACATGAGTTGGGTGTGCCATGATTACTTAATTAAACAAGGATCACTAAACATACAGCATTATTATATAAATTCATTGATGTTATCAGTAACCAACAACAAGGGGACATCTGTTTTGCATTAATGTTTCACATAGAAAATGACCTCGGTTAATTAATTAAGTAATAAAACTAATAACTATTATTTCCTTATTATTTTTATTCAACAGTTGAAAATTCTTATGGCCCAGTATCCTGACCAGGCTGGAAAACCTCTGTTGAAAACAAAATTGTCAGAGGTACATTGGGCTCAGCTTTTAGCAATAAATACCTACCTTTCCGAAGAGTACAGAGTACGTCGAGAAATGTTACTGAAGAGGCTAGATGTTACAATCCAATCTTTTAAATGGTCTGATAAAGCAAAGGTAGGAATATATTGGTTGTGAAACCTTGGCCATTACAAACTTTAAAGGACATGAACTTTCTTGCTTCTGTAAATTACGTTGTTTGAAATATTCCTTTGGTTAGGTCATTTAAATGAATTTTGGAAAATGCCTATGCCTGTAGCACACTTTGAGATCACTCAACCTACATTGACAAAAACCAGCATTGCCCATCTCGTCCCACTTAAGTTTAGGCACCATTAGATTTTTCAATTACAGCAATCTTATTTTCTACAAATACAGCAGTCAGTAAGTTTCGAGAATCAAATTATACACAAAGGAGACACACTTTCACTGATCTGTTTTACCAACTTGATACTTTCACTTTACTGAGTTATGACTGGTACTTTCTTTTGTTGAGCCATCCCCACTTCCCCTTAACAAAAACATCCAATCAACACTGACTTCTGTTTAGCTTGTCTCATGCAACCTAAGATATCTTTTACTAGCATTTGTTCTGATTCTAGTTAGCTGCACATTTCTACTGGGCATAGTTTCTTTTCTTCCTCATGCTTGTATTTATTTTTTTTTGCCATGTTTGTAGTTTTAAATAGTTTCTCTGATTGCTTTTCCTTAGAACAATGAAAACAAAATTGCAGAAGTTTACCAACCCATTAGAAGATTATTAACTTCAAAAACAGATATTGGCGTGCCACAAATTCTTGCTGCAAGAGACGGTAGGAGTGTTTCATAATGTGTTTTTGTTCATATTTATACAATATACAGGTATGTCTACTTTTTAATATAATACTTAGGAATACTCTTTTAAAAGACCAGAAGGAATGGGATATTATTAGTTATTTCTTTTGATTTTTCCAAATTTCCAGACATTTTAAATCAAAGTTATTTTCTGTTAAAACCAGAATCAGTGTTGTCATTCTATGTTAAATTTAGCATGTTCAGCAATATTTCCATTTTACAGATTTAACAAGATTGCAGAAAACTAGCAGTGGTGAGGCAAGAGAGCGAACGAAATGTGCAATAAACAGAATTCTGATTGGTCAAGTGAGTCTTATACATTTGAATTTTTAGATAGCGATAGTTAGTTAAAGATAAAGTGAAAGCCTGTTGTTTTGTTTGTTCTTTTTTAAAACCAGAGGGGTTGTCGGTTGGTTATGGACATCAAACAAAAAAATTGATCTCTGGAAATTCTCTAAAATTTGTTTGCACAGGTACCTGACCGTGGTGGAAGAGCCTGGGAACATGAACCTCCACCCCCTGAAATGCCAGCATTTGCTAAAAGAGATCCAGGAACACAAGGTAAATTACCTCATCTTTTAACTTCAGTTTTTTTTTTTATACATTATATTGGTTTGATTTGTGTATCACATTTCAGGGGTTTGCCAAGTGCTACAGAGCTGGAATTTTTAAGACCTTCGTCTCAGGGGGCCTTTTAATCTTTTAAAATAAGTTGGATCCTCCAAAGAAGCATTGAATCTGAAGCACACAAATAAAAGATATCTCCATATTCACCAATAACTTTCATTTACCAACATTGCAACTATGTTTAGAAAGTACATTTCCATATTTCATCTTAATAAACACAAAAAAAGTTATGAAATGTTCTAAATAATTCTTTTGGCAAATACGCAAATAGTACTCATACATTTTAAAAAAAGCACACAAAAATTGCATTGTATTTTTTTTTAAATTAATGTACCCAGTATTCTTGATCAATAGTATCAAATGTTTATTGCAGGTGGTGGTAATTTCCAAGGAGGTGGTAGGGGAGGTCGAGATAATGAGAGGGGAGGAAGAGGTGCTGGAAGAGGTGACAGAGGAAGAGGTGGACGTGTTCAAGGTAGTTGGGGAGATGCTCCAACAGGGGCTGCTGGAGGAAACTGGAACCGAGATGGTGGTGGATATCAGCAAGGAGGATATTCAGGAAGGGAAAGTAGTTACCAAGGAGGTGGTGCTGGTGGTGGTTATCAAGATCGTGGTGGATATCAAGATCGTGGTGGATATCAAGATCATGGTGGTAGTGGTTATCAAGGAGGTGGTGGTTATCAAGGAGGTGGTGGTTATCAAGGAGGTGGTGGATATCAAGGAGGTGGTGGTGGATATCAAGGAGGAGGTGGTGGTGGATATCAAGATCGTGGTGGTGGAAGAGGTGGTCGAGGAAGGGGGGGAAGAGGAAGGTAATAATTTAGTAATTTTATTTAGCCTTAAAATTATTTTAACATGGTCTTGAAGATTGTGGATGTTGGAAATTTATTTCTTGTTTATAACTGGGTGCTCTTAACTTAGTCTCATTCAAGTGGCCCTACTACCTCCCTCCTTTGAACTGTGAGTCTTTATTATTGTTGACATTTGAGCATGGCCAATATATATAGTTAAAATATGTATGATTTTCATAGGTTATATATAAGCTGTCACATTCAGTTTCTTTTTTTGAATGCATTTTGTTTGTTAAAGTGAAGTATAATTACTTGCATTTGCACAATTTGTTTTAAAATCATTTTTAGTCTTTATTTTAAAATTGTATTTCCAATGCTAATATAATCTAATATGATCAACTGGCAACCTTCCATTTCTTGTATAACTTATAGAGTTGTGCTTGCTTTACTAATAAAAAATAAATCCAATTCCTATCTGAGTACATTATTGGATTAACCTCAATGTTAGTGATCGCTCACACTTAATGAAAATAAATATAATTTCGTAAGGTTATTTTTGTTTGTGAGATGATTTTTTTTCTTGTTTTGCTGTGAACTATTTTGTATTTTCAACTAGAAAATATGCAACCAATGTTTTTTTAATTTATGATTACCAGTACTAGAAATTGTGAAAAATATGTCAATCTGTTTATGTTTAATAAATAACCAATAAGAGTTGACCGTTTCGTGTCTATTTATTGTCTTTTACGTACATATTAAATAATCAATTGCAAAAGGATAACAAAGCTCAAGGAGATTTGGAAAATAAACCATTGTAAAAAGGTATTTTATCACATATGGGAAGTGTTTCCTTTACTGGTACCTAAAGAATACATGTACGGTAAGTTTTTTTCACTTGAAACCTACTGCTGTTTTACATAACCACTGAACAAACTTTTGAACTAATGATTGAAAGTGATTTCAAAATAATCTCATATATTTTGCTTATGGTGCGCTTCCCTTTCAAACTCCCCCCATAACCTCTCCTCGAACTCCACGTTTTATATTAGTATTAGTACCGAGTGAAAAAAAGGCTGTTACTCAGCGAGCTCCATACGTAACGTCTGAACGCCAGTAAATAGGTTGATTGTTTTCTTTAAAAAGGAATTTTTTATTAAATGTCACTGTTTTTTCAAATTTTTGTTCTGTGGCCGCACACCACACAGAACTAGGTCATGGGCCGTCCTTTCACATCAGGCATGTGTGGGCCTGCGAGTCTTTTCCGTAGCCTGGTGCAGTAAGGTATTGCTATTTTTGTTATACTGCAATTGTTTCATAAGGCTTTGTTAAAAATGAACGAAAGTATCTTCTCTGTGAACAGATTTTTGTACGTCATCTCTTTCTGGGATCAGGGAACTGCCTGTTCCTATCAGTGGGTTATTTCTTAACTTTTGACAAAGGTAATGCACTCTAACTACGACATAGGACAGTAGATTTCGTTGTATATTATAGAAAAGAGAAGTAGACTTTTTTTGTAACTGGGGTGGATATTTTCTCAAAATACCCAGACTTGGTATAAAAAAAAACTGCCCCCGCTTAAGCCCTAGTTTATTCTATATTTTCTCAAATATTTTGCTGTATGTTAAGAAAATCAACACAATATGATCCAAGATTAAAAAATGCCACCCCATTTCAATTAAAATATAAATACTGCACTTTTTACTTTATAATTTATAATCATTACCGCCTATTCAAATGGGGAAAAATCATTACAAAAAATATTTGAGAAATGTTAAATAAACATCTTTAGATTAGATGCAATTATTAACTTTTACTTGAGGAACTTCACCACAGTAGCTTTTATACAAAAGATTCTTCTTTATTACATTAATAGTAATAATAGTGACATTCCTGTTGGACAACACTGACTATCATACGAATTTCATTTTTTACAATTATTAACTGGAGCACACTACTGTACATTTAGTAAAAAAGCACACAAAAATACATGTAATATTAAAATATACATCTTAAAATACAAATTCTTTGAGAAATTTCGTTTAAACTGGTATTTAACATATTTAATGGGTGACAGGCAAAAAATTAGCCAAATACTACCAAAATTGCAATGAGTTATGCTGGCTGGCTGCACTTAAAAAGAATTGGTAGGATGAAAAACACAGCTGGCACTTTAGTTTAGTGTAAAACCTTGAGTTGTTCAAATTCAATTAAGCAGAGCACATTTATCAGCTTAACATATTTAAAAATATAAATAAAGAAGAGGAAGAACGTAGCTTCAAACTAAATTTAGATCCTCAGAACATGTTTATTCGGCAGCTCAAACGTCCTCTGAATTTATTGCTTTTTTAGTTATGATTTTGTGTGGTCTAATAAAAAATACACTTACTTTTAAGTGATATGAACAGAATTTCTGTTGGGTGGGTGGGTGGGGGGGGGGGAGGGGGGGTTTCTCCCCAAAATTAATTTTGAATGACTAATTTTTTAAGTGGTTCCTTTGACAAAATAAATTTTGAACTGCTGACATATTATCTTCATATATTAAAAAGAATTAAAATTCTGTTGGGTGGGTGGGTGGGGGGGGGGGGGGTGTTTCTCCCCAAAATTAATTTTGAATGACTAATTTTTTAAGTGGTTCCTCTGAAAAAATAAATTTTGAACTGCTGACATATTATCTTCATATATTAAAAAGAATTGAAAACGTTTATTCAAGTGATTGCATTGGACTCCATGCATAACAATGAAAAAAGCCTAAAAAAAACAAAATCATCTTCAAAGAAAAATAAATAATAATCTTAAGTTGTTTTTTTTTTCAAGCGTTAATGTTTTGTGACAGAAGCAAGAGCAAACTTGTATTTGCTAAATGAGACAGTAAAATTCTTGTGCTAATAATCATAGTAAGAGATTTATTTGGAAATTACAATTTGAATTTGGAATTTCATAAGGTTTAGATATCAGATCCATTAAAAGTTAAATATACACTTGCTCACTGGCTAAACTGTCCATAAATGGACGTACAAGCGCACTCGTAGCAAAATTAAAAACCAGGCCAAAAGTGAGAGAAATTGGTAGAGCTGGTAGAGCCTTTCTGAATATGGCCAATAACAGCAAAGTGCAACACAGACCCTGAAAAAGAAAGAAATGCACATTGTTACACAATTTGGGTATTGAATAACAGCATACATTTTTAATTAATTGAATTGCCTCTTAAACCAAGCTGATTTTTTTTTTATGACAGGTATGTGTGTATGTGTATATATATATATATATACATGTGTGTGTGTATGTGTATATATATATATACACGTGTGTGTGTTTGTGTGTGCCAGGTGCTACGATTACAACAATAGTCAATCTGATTGACCAATCCATGGTCTCTTAAAAGAGGACCCTGCATTAGTAACAGTTTAAACATAGAAACTGTGATTGTATGCCTTCATCGTGTAAGGACAAAAAGAATGAAATCAACCATATTTATATTGAAATGAAAAGGGGAGAAACTGAAAGTCCGGAAGATGACTTACGATTAGAATTGCAACAAAGCAGGCCAAGGTTGTGTTCCAGTCACCTTTGGATGAAGCTTTTCCAACTAGTACACCATAGAAGATGAAATCTCCCAAGCCCAATTTAACACCTCCTGCAAATAAAATAAAATGATGAGTTAGTAATTTGGGGAATAAATAATAATTACAGATATGTTTTCTCTCGAACTTCTGAAATCTTACAATATTGTCTCAAAATCGTACAATAATAATAATAATAATAAAGTTCATTTAAAAAAACACGCTTCATCCCCAAAGTCTCGAAGCGCGGTACAAAGTCAACAAAAAACATATCTATAATTCACCACATTTAAAACAAACACAACACTACAAAAACTAATTACAAGCATACAATATCAAAGTCTTTCTAGCCATAAATACAGTATCTTAATAGTATTTAAAAAAAATAAAAATACAGCATATATAATTTATAATAATGTATACAATAACTAATCGCATCGCGCGTCTACTCAAAAAAGGTAACTTCTAAAAGTAGATGACAGACATTTATGTTGCTATCTGCGGTCGCTTTGTTTTAAAGACATGTATCTGCTATAGATATCAAATAATATTTAGGTGAATGTGCAGATTACATTATCACAGTCTGTCAATGGTAGAAAATAAATACTGGTGTAATTTAACGTAGTTCAAACTCGAAGTCAGATCAGCTAAAATAAAATTTATTAAAATAGGAATCAATGTCCATTATGGCTATTCCCATTAACATACTACAGTCTGATAACTACCACAAGCTGTGTATTGGTGTAAGGAAGAGGGGTTATTGAAAATCATAAAACATTTTTGTGCATTCTAAAAAAAAAATCGTAAAGTCGTTTTGGGCATTGTGACAATAATTCCTTCAAAACATTGTGTTACATTTTTGCAGCATTTGAGATATTTATATATATGCTAGTTTTAATAATGTATGTACTTTCTGCTGAGACCACCCCCCCCCTCCCCATTCGTTAAATTTATAGCCTAAAATATTTAGACACTAAATCTCATAAATCAACACCACTCCATTCCCCTCTAATATAATTATAGATTGTCCCTAACCAATCATATTTCTCAGTCCATTCAGTGCTGGATGTAGAATGCAAATGCAAGGTAAAACCGGAATGTATATATTTTCAACCCGATCTCTTAAAAACATAGTTCTGACAGGTCTTGGTGTTCAATCGTAAGAGACATCTCAAAATCAAACATTGTGAGCCAAAATTGTTAGAATAAACAGGTCTGTAATTGTCGGCTGATGCATTAATTAAAGGACAGACAATTATTTCACTTTGTAGCTTTGTTGTATCAATAATATGGAAAATTTAGTCTTGCCTTAAATTTACATTAAGCAAATATATATATGTGTGTATATATACATATTTTAAAAAACTTCAGCATCAATCTAAGTTATTAACTAATTATTTATAACAGGTAGCAATATCCGGTACATATGACTGCATTAAAAAAATCAAATCATTAAGTTTTGCAACGTTGTGGTCCAGACATTGTGTGATGTAGTAGAAGTAGATTTTGTAAAGCAGAAATAGCCTAATGACCAGTATAAATTACATGGCGTAAGTACTCACTCTCTTCATCCTCTTCTGCACTATTTTCTTGAGGTGCAGCTGCTCGTTGCCTGGGTTTTGGTGTCTTTTTCTTTTTAGGGACAACAGCAGATGTTTCTGTCGGATTTTGAACTGGGTCTGAGCTGCTCCCTGCAATGTGCCTGTGGGGATTAGGATTTCCTGCTGCTGTAAAACAGAATAAACAGTTCAATGATATTTGATTCACATACTTTCAAAGTTACAATATACATCAATTATACGAAGTAAAGTGTATCTATTTGACCTGTAGATCATTAAATAATATATTCCATTGATAACAATTTGGCATATGAATTTACAGATAGAATATCTCTTTTATGCAAAATAATATTAAGGTCAACTTCTTATAAAAAGATAAGATATGAATACAAATAAATAGTATTGTGTTTTAAGCATACCAAATTTTAAAAAAAATTTAAGTTGAAAAACTATTATGAGAACCACCATTTTTGTTTATACCAATAGTGATGTACATGTCCCAAGAGCATATTAAACATCATCCAAAGGAGCCAACTTGAACTCCACCAAAATAGGCTACAATGTATATAGTAACAGAATGATTCCTAAAATTACCATGACTCATTTCTCCTAATGCCTGTACAGCTCTACGGGCTGTTTGTGAATCTGAACTAGCCGTTAGCTCATTGGCCCTGTTTGTTCCATTAGACAGATGCTCTCTGAAGCCCCCCTCATCATCACTTTCATGAATTTCAGAGGCTCCACGTGCACCACCAGAGGTTCCAGAAACCCCTGTTAGAATTATAGAAGATTTTTTTGTAATAACAAACATAAATATTGTGTTAAAATTGCTACTTGTCATGTCATTGCTTCAGAATTTTCTATGGCACACAAAAAGCAATAGTACATAACACCCTATTCAACTGACATAATTACAGTGGACTCATTTTATTTTATTTACATCAAGACCTGAGCGTCTGATTTACTCAAATTCCATTTAAATAGTAATAAAAATAAAGCATAATTAGGTTTTTGTGATGAGTGAAATTAATTTAACAAAAAATACAAATTAGAAAAAAATTTATATTTTATTTTACTCAAGTTCTTATGTTCTTGGAGAAGATTATCAAATGACTTCTACCATTTTATCTTTATTAACAAAGTCCGAAATCAGAGTTAGAAAAAAATTAAAATATGCTTCTTTCAAAAACAGCATACCAGTTTAGCAAACAATATCTGGGCAAACAGGTTAGTAATTAGCATATGACCAAGATGGCCTTCTCTTCAATGTCACGTTCATTTGTTGATGCAGTTTGTTCAGTGATGATTGTCTCAAAACAATGAGTATCATTGAAACATTATAGACTATTGTCAGTGTCACAGGATGATTGTGACCACTGTGGATGAGTACTGAACAGGTCTACAGATCATTGGAAAATGGGTATTATAGGAATAGTGTTTCCCCGAGGGCATGGTCACGTCATATTATGTATAATATGGGGTATATTATGTCCTTGACTCGTATGGATTTGCCAAGGGGAGAACATTTGTTGTAGACTTTAATTACAATCTATGGGGATGATGGCAATTAGGAGATGTTATAGTGGCAAGTTTTTAGGATGGACCCTCTGGTATATAACCCACGCAAAATTTAGATTCTTTACTGATCAATGTCCTGCGGTTCTGGCATGAAATTTTCTTCATGTGTTTAGATTTAGACCTAAAGCTTTGTACCAGTTCATGCTATGGATATCCACATAGAGCAATTGTCACCCTTTCTTCTTAGTTAATTCCTTACAAGTGTGTAGCCATGATAGAGAGTAAAAGTGGGAGAGCAGAAGTGGATTTCAAAGAAATTTCAAGAGTAATTTTGAACCCAGATTTACACACGTTAACAAGTCAAGTGATTATGACAATTCACTGATTAACTACCAGATTGGAAAACAGGCTGTGGCCGAATTAAATTTACGTCACATTTTCTCATTGCAGGTGTATTTACAAATTCAGCTGCGTATTCTCAATTATTAACATATTCTAATGAGTAATAAACCATTGTATAGGTAAATGAATTGTTTATAAGATAAACGTAAAACAATTTGTAAATTTAAGTTTTGGTAGGAAATTATGAATTGTTAAGTTAGTAATTACAAAATAAAAACATTAAAAAAATATATAAATTTGCCAACTGACCCATCAATTTTAAATTTCCAAAACATTTAAAGTAAGCCTTTTATTTGGTGGTTTCCAAATAGTATATCCAATAATAAGAAAAATGCACAAAAGAACACAGAAACTGAATAATATTTACACTTCCAATTACTTATATGCATTTAGTAACCCTGTCACTTGTTGCCACAGTAAACAAGTTGTACAATTTTGTGACTAGCTTGGGAATTAAAACAAAATTAATTAACAGCTCATTTTTTTAAAACCTTCTGCCAATAGCATGTGATTTGAAAATAAACAACCTGTCTGTATATTAAAATCTCCAACCAAAAGGGGTACGGAATGACATTAATTGGCCCTACCAGCGGCTCATGACCATACCCAAAGGAACGCTGAGCCGCTCCCAGCGGCTCATTGTAGTTATAAGCTCTTTTGTTTAATTAAAATGTCCTCGGCCAATGACTGCTCTAATGAATTCAGGGCTCAAATCAAAAGGATCCACTCTATATTACACTATATTTAAAAAGCCAAAAAACTCAGCTCCATAGTTCAAATGGTTGTGTTACTAAATAGAACATTTGAATGACTTATTTTGATCTTTATTTAATTTATAACAATAAAATGCTTTACAATTTAAAAATTATAAATATGAAGAATATATGTGCAAATTTCTACCCGACCTTAAAACTGTGAAATAAGAAAAAAAAGCACTAATTGGTTTTCTATGTGAAATTTACATACCAGTGCCCTGAGATGTTCCTCTTTTTCCTTTTTTTGATGAACTTTCATCGTCGGCCATGGTTATTAGCCAAACCATGGTAGCTTAATAAAAAACAAATATACAAAGTGTATTCAATAGAAACTCCAAAATGCTCATTAATGACACAAGAATAATTAAACACAAAATAAACGGGGACAATCAAAAGTATCCCCATGGACATTTTTCAATTTTCCTGTAAAAGGTTTAACTTATGGTCAATTAAATGTCTTAATCCATCCCTGTGGTGCTACAGACCATGTAGGGCTTCCGCCTGCCTTACTACTTCCCTCCACTCAGACCTAACTAATGCTTTTCTTTTCCATGCTTGGATTTTCCGTTGTAGATCTTTTTCCACATCATCCACCCATCTAGTCCTAGGTCTGCCTTTGAGTCTTTTCCCTCTTGAGTATTGGTGATGCACCTTCACTCCTCTGTCATTTGGCCTTCTCTCTAAGTGTCCTGCCCAGCGAAGCCTGCCCCTTTTTATTTCTGCAACTATCCTGGGATCCTGATATAGACTGTACAATTCATGATTGGTTCGTATTCTCCATCCATATTCATCCTTTGATGGTCCATATATTTTCCTGAGAACTTTCCTCTCCCATGTGTTTAATAGGTTTTCTGCTTTTTTTGTTAGGGTCCAAGTTTCACTTACATATTATGTTACAACTGGTCTGATTACAGTTTTATAAATAGTTTTCTTTGTTTCTCTTGTAATGTTTTTACTTTTGAGTATTTTCTGACTGCTAAAGTATGCCCTGTTTGCGGCTGATATTCCTTCTTTTATTTCTGTTAGTAATTCGTTTCTTTCATTTAATAAAGATCCTAGATATTTGAATTGATTTACTTTTTCAATAGTCTGGTTTCTAATTTTAATTGCTTCATCTGTTTGTTCTTCTCTTATCATGATCACGTATTTAGTTTTTTTTGGTTGTTAACCTCCAGCCCTGCTTGTAGTGATGCGTCTTCTAATTCAATAAAGGATTTTGATATGTCTTTAATACTTTTCCCTCGCAGTGCTATGTCATCAGCATACGCAAGATACTGAAGTGGTTGATTGTAGAGTGTGCCCATTTGTTTCGGGTCTTGGGTTACCCTCAGAAAGTATCCTATTATTGTTCCTCGACTGTCTGAGTGTTTGTTTCTCATAACTTTCTCTAATGTTATGTTAAAAAGCATACAAGACCGTGAGTTTCCCTGTCTTAGGCCTCGACTAATCTGAAATTCCCTTGAATATTCTTCTTGAACCTTGATTTTGCTTTTTGAGTAGTTTAGTGTTAGGGTAATAATTAAACACAAAATAAACTGGGACAGTCAAAAGTATCCCCATGGAATTTTTCAATTTTCCTGTCAAAGACTAAACTTATGGTCAATTTGTATGGCATCTTTCCGTCTGCGGGAGACGATAGATTATCTTTATTGCTTGCAGCTCTTGGTGTGGCTGGTGAGACCAATCCTCGAATGGCAGTCTCTGTTACATTTCCCAAACACGAATGCGGTGGAGCAGTATTTACCGGCCTTCCTCCTCGCTCTTTTTGCAGCTGTTTCCGCCCTGTTTTGCTCCTCGGCATGTAGTGATCCTGCCTTCACGATGCCCCGCCAACAGGATCGATCCTCTGCCAGCTCCTCCCAGTTTGAGATGTCGATGTTGGCAGACTTCATGTCTCTTTTGCATATGTCTAAGTATCTAAGACGAGGCTGCCCAACTGACCTTTTCCCTGTCGCCAGCTCGCTGTATAGCACGTCCTTTGGTATGCGACCAGATGCATTCGCTTGACGTGTCCAAGCCAGCGGAGGAGTCTTTGGATTAACATGGCTGGGACGCTACACATGTTTGTTTGGGACAGGACATCCGTGTTGGGGACTTTGTCTTGCCATTTAATGTCAAGGATGTGGCGCAGGCATCTGAGGTGGAAGCCATTGAGCCTTCTTTCGTGGTTAGAGTATGTGGTCCACGACTCGCATCCATACAGGAGTGTGCTCAGTACGCAGGCCTGGTACACCTGCAGCTTAGTTCTTGTTGTGAGTTTGGCGTTTGACCAGACTCTTTTCTTCAGGCTGGCCATAACAGTTGCGCCTTCCCTATCCTTCCACTTATCTCATCCTCCATTGAGAGGGTGCTTGATATGTTGGATCCCAGATATGTGAATCTATCAACAGTGTCCAAGTCGTAGTCGTCGATGACGATAGTGGGGAGGGAGTAAGCGCCCTGTGCCATAATGTTAGTTTTCTTTAGGCTAATTGTCAGGCCAAACTCTTTGCAGGCAGCGGATAGGCTGGATATGAGGCTCTGCAGGCCGTCTGCTGTGTGAGATACCAAAGCGGCATCGTCCGCAAACAAGAACTCCCGCAGCAAGACCTTTCTTGTTTTAGTCTTAGCTCTAAGGTGGGCAATGTTGAATAATTTGCCGTCATCTCTAGTGTGGATGTATAACCCCTCGCTGTTGTTCTTAAAGGCATACTGGAGTAGGATGGAGAAAAAGATTGCAAATAAAGTAGGAGCCAGCACGCAACCTTGCTTTACTCCACTACTCACTGGAAAAGCTTCTGAGGCGGCACCGTTATAGCACACTGTGCCTTGCATGTTTTCGTGGAACTGCTTGATGATGTTAAGCAGTCGTGTAGGGCAGCCTATCTTTTTGAGGATCTGAAACAGGCCGTTTCTGCTGACAAGATCAAAAGCCTTAGTGAGGTCGACAAACACAATGTATAAAGGCATATGTTGCTCCCTGCACTTCTCCTGCAGCTGGCGCAGAGAGAAGATTATGTCTATGGTTGACCTACCGGCGCGAAAACCACATTGCGATTCTGGGAGTACACGCGATGCTGAGGAGGGAGATTCCACGATAGTTGTTGCAGTCACTCGTCTCCTTTATTTTTGTACAATGTAACGATGTTTGCATCTTTCAACTCTTGTGGTAGCTGTCCCTGTTCCCAGCACAGAGTAAGGAGATCGTGCAAGGGCCATAATAGTGCTCCTTTTCCACATTTGAGAGCTTCTGGTGAGATACCATCATTGCCCGGGGCTTTCCCACTGGTGAGACAATCGATGGCTCTACGTAGCTCTTCTGTGGTGGGTAGGGTATCAAGCTCCTCCTTGACCGGTAAGTCTGGGATATCGTCCAGGGCAGCGGTTGAGACATGGTTTATCGTTGCGTATATTTCCAACTAGTGCTCTATCCACCGCTTAAGTTGTTTATCTCGATCAGTAATAATTTCCCCTGATTTGGACATTAATGGGCGCAGTCTTGGAGATCAGAGGGCCTGTTGCTTGCTTTATATTCTCGTACATTGACTTTGCATCACCTCTATCAGCAGCTGATTGTATGGTCAATTAAATGTATTAAAAACAATTTAAATAGCTATTGTAGCAAAAATTGATGGAACTGTATTTTGATTTTGTCACTAAATCAGTGATAATGCACCACCATGTTTGAAATGGTCATGGTTTGGAATGGGTAAAACATTTATATTTTGAGTCATAATTCCAACTTTAACCAAGGATTCAAAGAAACTAAACAAAACTTAAATATTTAGATCCTGAAATAACAAAAAAAAACAGTAGTGAATGTACCCAATCTTTTTTTTATGCTGTAAAACTGCTCCAAAATAGATATTAAAGCATTTATATAACTAATCAAGTAGTTAAGATAACATAACTTCTAATATTACTCACAGGAATAAATTAGCGCAGGGAAAATAGGCTCATTCCTTGTCTGAGCAGTTTCAACAAGCATGCGCAATGGTCCTTTAGGACACAAGACAGCAACAAGATCTGTAGATGGTTAAAAGACTTTAGAAGGTGTGGAAAAATTTATTTAAGTGCCCACCAAAAAGGAAAGGTAAAAAAAGCATTTTAACCACCAATTCATTTAGCTGACCTTGCAATAAAAGATGTTTAATACCAAGTACCTAAATTCTCTACTTACCCCATACTACCATGACACCAAGTACAGTCCATGCCGTCCAATCTGGCAAGTATTTTATGAACATTAGAGCAACGAGTGAGCTAACCATAATGAGATAAGCTTGCTGCAAAAGTAAAGGCCCCTTCCAGTGTATACAAAACATCCCTCCCACTCCGAAATTCCACATGATAATAGCCACAGTGATATAGTCAATAGGTGTGTTATACGAACGAAGAATTTGTCTGTATGAGAAAAACATAACAATTAATATTAAAATTTTGTAAAATTCCTACAGTATAAATCATATTAATTTCATATAATTTTACATTTATTTTTTAACCAAAAAAATCTGTGCTTTATTATTAATTTACTTAATTACAAAAAGAACTTTTTACTAAATTTTATATTTTCTTTTCTCCATATGGAAGGAAATTATGTGGGTTTTTTTAATTTAATTTTTTAAAGCAATGCTCACTCCATGTATATATACGAGAAGAAAAACAGCAGCATGACTGAAGACAGTACAAGCCATCCATGGATGATCTGCAAAGTAAAAATTAATTTATCAACCTTTTCATTTCTGAATTAACACATGGAAATATTGGATTCAAATTCCTTACTACTATATAAATATATATCAACTGTGACTATAGTGCTCATCAATATGCTCAGATGACATCATTGGTGTATTTCATATGTGCTTTATAATTTCCTACCATCACAATAGTGATTTTGTCACAGATATAATATATCTAGAAGGTGAACAATCAATGTTAAAAGGCATCATTTAACTATATTGGCGTAAAGACACATAAATACACAATAGGTGTAAAAACAAGGGCCTGGATTTTTTGCTTTTGGTTCTAAAAAAAAAGAGCTATATTGAGATCTTCAAACACATAAGTTTCTTTTTTTTTCTTGTCTGCTGAAGAAGGCGTTTAGCCGAAATGTCCTTTTAATTGTCCTTTCTTATCTTTTCAACCTAAACATATCTTGTTCCATTATTTATTAACAGAACATGGCATGAACGGGGTCCTTCATTATCCTGGATTTTTTATTACACCAATTTTTTCACCTTATTACATTTAAATCAACACTAATAAAGCCATAATTTTTTTTTCCCTCCCTAAAATGGGAATAAAAGGGTCATAAACCATACAAATTGCTAACAGAAATATCTCTTAGACAATTGTGTATATCTGAAATTTTTATGTATAGATGATAAGAAGTTAAATGTTTCACTAATAGTTACAATTAACTTATAATTAGTGCATACACATAAAAATTCATTTACTTATCAAAGATTTTAATTAACATTATATATTCAGAATCACAGACTCTTTATAGCTCAATATAGAAGCAGGTAAAATACATTTGTTGGACAATTCCAGTAATGATTCCTTCAGATCAGATGGAAATAATAAATTTCCAAGGAACCGATTTTTAAAGGCAACAATTTTCATGATTACAAAGATACATGTTGGTGAACGTATCAAAGCTCCTTATATATTCTATATTAAAGATAATTATGGATGACACTTCTAGCACACAACGATGAACATTATGGTAAACACTGATCTACTCTTCATCTTTGGTAAAACTATTTAAATAAAAATTCATTAACAAGAGAATCATTTTTTTTAAACACACCCTTATTTCTTATACCCTCCCCAAAACTGCCTTGGTACTGAAAGGAAGTGCCTCAGTTAAGAACTTGATGCTTAACATTTACAAAAAGTTTACACTAAGAAAGGTACCTGAGAATAATTAATTATCCAAGGTTTTACTGACAACTCACTGGAAGATATTATTACTTCTATATATATAAACGATGAAAAACATTTTTTGAGTTTACCAACCTTGTAACACTTGTATTTGTATAAAAGTAGTAGCACAATTGTCATGACCACAATGCCACCCAACATGATGAGGGAGTTTGCCAATGACTGCCAGATTTTGGTTCCAGTATTGTCAGTTTTATCATGGAATGGAGTGTAAATCCTGAACATATGAAAGAATGATATCAATACATAAACAATAACTGCCTCAAAGTTAAAAGATATTTAAAACTATAAAAACAAAAAAAGGATTCCTGTTTTTTAAGTAAGATAAATTAATTTAACTGTTAATCAATTTTTAAAAAACCCATTTTCTGAAACATTGAATACTTGTTGCACCATGAACTATATACATTAAAAGCAATTGTTAGTAATATTGAACTTACAAGTATGTACCAGTGTCTGTATAATAATTTACAGTGGAGATTGTAGCAACCACAACAGCCATGCACAAGGTTACTGGGACAAAGAGCATAATAACATGCTTGGCCCCATATAGGAGCGTTTCTTCATCTTCTTCCTCTTCTTGCTGTTGATGTGCTGATCGCTGTGAAGGGTTTCTTCGTCTTCTTCTGTGAGAGTCCCTGGGTGCCCCAGAAACCTGTCCAGTGTTGTTAGCATTTGGAATTATCACACTTGTCTGAATAAAGCAAATAAAATCATTTTATTTTTTAAGAGTTTATTTCAAAATCAATAAAAAAAAGGTTTCAAATTTCAATGCTATTTAAATGATATTTGTAAAAAAAAAACAGTGGTGATATTTGTAATTGAAAAATTCTGAAAGTCACCAAGGTACAGAAAGAGAAAAATATACTTGTGACTTTCAATCACTCTTCAACAAAGTAAAGTGAGACAGTGTTATAATTTTTATTAAATACAATTAAAAATTTGGTTTTTGAAAAATACTATGATCACAGAACTGAATCAATTCATAATTCCTTAAAGGTACTAAAAATAATTCACTCCACACTATTACTTTACATAACTTATATGGATCGTATACACTCCATTGTCTCCACACATACAGGACACATAGCAACATACGAAACATCAAAATCAAAAAAATCTACAGAAGATAATAAATATGATCATAGTAAGAGCAGCATTTAGTTAATATACTACATCTTCTTTCAAATTAATTATCTTATTAATGTATACAATTTAAAAAATCTATGTATCTCATAATAAGATAGAGCTGATTTCCATATTTTATTTTTACTATGACCCTTATTAACTTTTTGCTACATTTGTGAAAATAACAGAATATATTAGATCTTTAAACGTCAATGTTGTATTTAATCATGACTTGACATATAGTGCCATGGACAATGATTCAATTTAACAACAAAGAAACAAGTAAGAGCAGCATTTAGTTAATATACTACATCTTCTTTCAAATTAATTATCTTATTAATGTATACAATTTAAAAAATCTATGTATCTCATAATAAGATAGAGCTGATTTCCATATTTTATTTTTACTATGACCCTTATTAACTTTTTGCTACATTTGTGAAAATAACAGAATATATTAGATCTTTAAACGTCAATGTTGTATTTAATCATGACTTGACATATAGTGCCATGGACAATGATTCAATTTAACAACAAAGAAACAGAAATCAAATGAAATTATGTTTCTTCTGCATTACTTACAAATGTAACTTTAGTTCAACACAAAAATAAAAATAATTGAAAACTGGCTTTTAAAATAAAGTTGTACCTCTGGTATAGCTGGTGTTGCAGACCCATCTTCTATTGTTGTTATCCTATTAGTATTCGGGGATGATGGAACCGGGCCAAAGACAGAAGTGGAACCACCATCTCTAGCAGCTTCATTAACAAAGCTACTCATTAGGCTTGTTCTTTCAGTTGGTGAGTCATCAGTTGCAAAGACAGCACCTGAAGTTTTACTGTGTGAACTCATTTAAAAAGCTCTCTTTAATATCTGATATGGGGGAAAAAAAGAACACTAAAGTTGAAATGGTTTAATGCTAATATCTAAATTTAGAACTGCCAAAATTATATAAGACACTGTCACTAAATGAATTTTAGTTTGCAATTTTTTAGGATAAAATAGATTGATGTCATTTGAATTAAGTATAATTTTATTTTAAAGTGTTTTGATATTTGCCTTAATTCAAATTTATTCTGGTTTTTAATTATATCTCCTAATGAGTTTCTGTTAGTGGATTCAATAATTTATAACGACAATTTGACAAATAGTAACATTTTTAAATAAATTAAATCACCTGGTTTTTTGTACTTACAAAAAAAACTTCTATAAAAGCTTTGAATGAAATAAGTGAACTCCTCCAAATCTGAATAATGACAATAGCTTGGTTTGAACTTGTTCTATATTTTACATTTTATTTCATTAATGAATATTGCTTGGTGGCAAGAGCTAAATTGAATTAGTTCCAGAGACGCAGTCAACAGTTAACTGTTAGGTCACTATTGGTAAGGTACACTTACTTTTAATTTATAAATGTATTAAATGCTCTGCCATAACCGCCATGAACATTAGCTATAGCAGTAATGAATAGGATATGATTATTGGTTTATTATGGTTACTACTATGGTTACTACTAGGGCTAAGGTGAGATATTCATTAGTGTAAAATACTAAATGAGCAGTAATTATACACGTAGATGATAGTGATAGAGCAGACAAACTTCTCTCTAACATTAGTAACATCCTGTATAGTAGGTACTTCGAAGAAAATAAAAAATTATTTTTAAAACATAAAAACTGCAGCTGTATAAAGCCTACAGAATGGTTTACAAAAAACACTAAGATAAACTTTCTTGCTCAAACGGTTCAAAAGTTATGAATTATCTAGTAAGGACCTCATAACCACTTTTGCACTATGGAGTTTTCCTCCACATTTCATGACCCTTAGTTTGCTATTGTTTTTAAGCCTAAAACGTTATTATAAAATGAGAAAAAAATATAATATTTATAGGGAACATGGTTAAATATGAGTTCTTCTAAATAAAGCCACAAAATATAAGTTTATTTTTGTTAAAATTGTGCAATTTCTTTTCATCTGTATAAATTTTCCTTATTAAAATGTATAAAATATCCTGATTTATCACTTTTTTTATATTTAATTTATATATTTTTAATTTCCCAATAATAATAATAATAATAATAATATTCTTAAGATATTAATTTCAAATTTTCTTTGGAACTGTTTAACATGTTCAAGTATACAAATATAATACATGGATTAATTGATTCATTTAGTTAAAATTGACAATTATACTTTTTATTTTACCATTTTATACATTATATATAATATAGTCCCATATTAACATGATACAAAAATTAGTTTAGTATGTCATTTATTTGAAGTTAGTAATCTTGTTTTATAAACCAACATGCAGTGGCATAGCTAGGGTTGGTGTCACCCGGTGCAGTAAACTTGTAATCCCCCCCCGACTTCCTTGATGCATTTCTTCTTGTTAAATAAATCCACTAGAAAAAACAAAACAAAAATAATTGAAAGTCAGACGTTAAATGTATTTAAGAACTGTGACATGTACTTGGAATCGCCTGTTTTTATCAAAGGATAGCTTTATTTCTCAGAGTTTAGATAAATAAAGCTCCTTTAACTTACAAAAGTTACCAAACATTTCATTCGGCATAGAATCATGGTCAAAACAGTGCGTTTCTAACCTAATAATAAGGTAACCTAATTGCAACCTTGAACTTTTAATAAATCATGGCTTTTGATTGGTTGCATGGGTGGAAAATGTGTGGTTGGTATGAATTTCAGTGTGTGATCCGTAAAGACGCAATTTTTCAATGTGGTGTCACCCCCGGAGATTGTGTCACCCGGTGCGGTCCGCACCCCCCCTAGCTACGCCACTGCCAACATGTATTGTTAGAATCAACTTTGGAATTTGATTGAAATTAAATGAGTTCTAGACATTTGCTTGAGGTAAGTACCAGTTATTATGATTGTTCTTTAGTAATATGGTAAGTAAGTAATTCTTGGATTATTGTGGCAGAAAGTGTGTTATTTCTTTAAGAATACTGAGGATCATATAATAATTTTATTGTGGAATATTGTGAAATGTGATTAACTATAGGATAATTCAATATCAAAGGTAAGTGAATATTTGTTACATTTATCTATCTTTATGTATATTTATAAATATATTAGTTGTAATAAAGGCTATTTACCCCCCACCCAAATCAATTTTAATAATAATAGTATTATTACTACTATAATACTTTTACTAGGCCTATCTAAGTCAAAGACAAGTGGTCAAGTGGTTAACAATCCCATGTCCATAGCAAACAAACCCAAAATTATTAACCAACCCACAGCCACTATTGATAATAGGTAATATGCAGACAAGCATGGTGGCCATGATGACAAATTACATAGCCTAAAAAAAGTTACCTCGTTTTTGACGCCTGCCTATGGTTTACACCAGGCCTGCACAACTCAAAATGTAAGGTGGGCTGTAATACTTTATAAAAAACTTGTGCGGGCCATAATGCTTTATGAAAAACTGATCCGGGCCGAAAGATAATAGGCCAGGGGCGAAAGCTATTAAGAAAATAATAATAATAAAGAATATATCGTTACTTCCCGGGCAACCAAATGGCACATGCAGCCCACTGGCCGTATGTTGTGCAGGCCTGGTGTACACTCATGAATTTTGCATATCTTATAAATGACATTATAAATTTAATTAGCATTTTTTTAAATAATTGAACACTTCAAAAAAAAAAGTTATTGATCAGTAAGTTAACATATTTTTTACTTCAATTTTCAAAGCTTTAACTTTGAAAAAAAAAAATCAAATAAATTCTCAATAGAACAAGCAAGATGTCGGCTTGAAGTAATTGGCGGATGTAGAATTTATTATTATGCTAAATATGGACTGTAAATGGAAAACAACAATACCCTCCATAAATTAAAGTGGAGATGCCATAATGACAACGAAATTACGGTACCCAATTTTCAGGTGTTTCCTGGCGATACCGAAGTCCCTACTGTATAGCATTATAATTATTCTTATAATGACTTATGCGTTTCCAACTCTACCCAACATGGGCCTAAACTTAATTAAAGTAATTAAATTAAGGTGAATTTAAGCAATACAAGCGATGACATGTGTAGGATTCTCTCCCTTTTGTTTATTCTTGTGTTGTTACTAGAGTTAACTTTTCCTTAATACAATGAGTTGGAATGTTAAAAATTATAATTGGTTGGTTAATTATAATATTTAAATTCTCCGTTATTTTGGAAAATGGGTTTAGTATTGGATCTTTTGAATTGATTTGATTTCTGGCAACTTTTGGATTTTCTTTATAGTGGAACCTGAAATCAAGTGTGTAAAAGTGTATTCTATGAAACTGTAAGTTGGGTTTTCATTATTTTAAAACTATTTTGTATTGATTTTCTTCATTTGTAACTGTAGCCACACACATGTTTTAGTTGAGGAAAAGGAGCATGTACCAGCTGAAATTACAGGAGGAAAGGGGGGCAACCACAGGTGGTTGATGCTTCTTGCCGCGTATATAGAGGGATAAACTAGCTTTGCTCGCCATGAAATTTATGTAACGGCTGAAATTATTACATTATATGTTAACATTTGGTTACTATTTTTGTTTCTCAGTAAATAGCTAAACCAGCACAATCTCTCCCTTTCCCATCCCCATTTAGCAGATGTATATCTTTTTTACAAGGCCGCCACCTTGGTTGCAATGATCCATCAAGGGTCATGGCAACCAAGATGGCGGCTAAGGGAAAGGTCAGATGCGGATTGCATAAATTTACCTAAATTAACTTTTAATAATAATAAATGGTAATCCCTTATTTTAGCGCAATTTATTATTTATTTATTTATTTAGGCATTTTTTTATAGCGCTTACCTTACAGCTCTAAGCGCTTTACAATTAATAAAAATATGTAAACTATTTAAACTGCTATAGTAAAATAAAAAGGAAAAAAACAGAGACACTAGAATAGTAACAACAATAAAAATGACTATAGAAACAGTAGCTTAAACATTAAAATGGCTATAAAAACGCGTACACTTTGGCACGTTTTGGCCTATTCTACAGGATCAACCCAAGACAGAAAATGAGGCAGGGCAAGGAGGGTGCATCACAGGTCATAGGCGGACCTAAACAGATTTCTAGAGAAATAAAATAAAAAATTCATATTTACTTCATGAAACTACATTAAAACACTTCAGTGGCTACTATAACATGTATTTGTTAGTTTGTCATGTATTTTTAGTGGTTTTTAAGTGAAAATTTTACTTGTTTTAAGGGATTGACAGACTTTGTAAATACTTGTTAAATTATTTACAAAGTCTACTCTGCCTTGCACGGATGGCCATACAGATATCCAAGATGCCTAGAGCATGAGATACTTAAATATTTAAATTTAAACTTGTCTAAACCCACCACTGGTTTAGAAAGAAATATCAGACAACTAGACATTATAATATAAAGTAATAAAATAATACAACTTTTTATTTTAAGCTAGATAAATCCAATTGGGCAACTTTTATAACGTATCTTAGAAGACAGAAGAGTTCTCCTAGATTTACCCCAATGGCGCCGTGAAAGACAAAAGATTCACGAAAATGTACTTTATTTGATCTCTTAAAATTTTTTAAATTGTTGTTGCATTCCAACAAAAAGATGGGATTTTACTTTTAAAATACTTTAAATGCAGTTCCACGAGGTAAAAATGAATTTTTAAATTTATTTTTCTAGAAATAATAATTTGGATTTAAAATAAGGGATTACCGTAATAAAAAATACATCATGTCCGGAGTACAATATAATACATTACTTTTGTTTTTAATTAAAAACTGTTCTTCCTTAGTACCCTTGATAGGCACTTTGATGAAAATTTCAAAACGTTTTTAAAAATATAAAAATAATACAGCTGTGTAGAGCCTGGTGAATAGATTACAAAAACACCAAGATCAACTTTCTAGCTCAAGTGGTTCAAAAGTTATGAATTTTTTAGTGGAGACCTCAAAAGGCACTTTTTCACTATGATAGTATCACTATGGGAATTTCCTCCACATTTCGTGACCCTCATTTTGCTTTTCTTTTTTAAATTTAAAGGCCTATAACTTTATTATAAAAAAATGAGACAAAAATATAATATTTACAGGGAACATAGCTTAATAAGAGTACTTCTAAATAAAACCACAAAATATAAGTTAGTTTGTGTTAATATCCCGCAAAAAAAATTTTTAAAATCCTAATTATTTTCCTATTAAAAGTATATAAAATATGCTGACTCGTTACTTAATTTTAATAATTAATTAATTATGTCTAAATATTTTTTGTTCAATTTCCCAACAAATAATATTCTTAAGATATTAATTTCAAATTTTCTGTGGAATTGTTTAAAGTGTATAAGTATATACTAATAATAAAGGGATTATTTGTTTCAATAAATTAAAATTGACGATTACACTTTTTATTTTACCATTTTCTATATAATGTATTTTAGTCCCATAATATGGGCCATTTATGCATATGAATGTGTGAATATGACAAAAAAATAATGTATTGTCCCTCAATAAAAGCATCAAATCATATTAAAAATATGTATTTGTGTTATTAATTAATTATATTTTATTTTTAAATGAGATATTATGGGATAATAGGCTGGATTTCCAGTGTAAATCAGGTTATTTACCATAGCAATGAATATTAACGATAATAGGTAATTTTGGGTCACACTAGATTAAAATTTCTGAGTAAATTTATGACCAAACTGCTGGGCCTAACCTTCACACCTTGGATATGTTGTAATTAATGCCATCATCTATTAAGTACATTACAATGAAGCAATATAAGCTTTCCACAAAAAAAATTATAAATGAGTTAAATTAGCATTATTTTACCTTCAATTTTCAAAGTGAAGCCCCAAAATTTTTTGGGGGACTAAAGAATCTAATCATAAAACAACATGTCTACTCTAAGTTGTGGGCGGAAATAGAATTTACATGCTGGGCTATAAATAGTTAAAAAGTCGTAAACAATGTGACCCTCAGTAAATTAAAAAGTGGAGGTCGCCATTTTGACAACGAAATCACGATATCTGGTTTTGGGCATTTCTCAGAACTCAACGAAGTACCTACCTTAGACAAAGACTTAGACTTTCCACTCAATAATAATATCTCTATTGAATTGACATTGAAATAGTAATCCATTCAAAACTTGTCAGTATTCAGATTAGTAGTGTAGTGTAGGCTCATAGTTATTACTAGTAGTGTAACTTAAAACAGCAAATACTGCACTGTAACAATTTAGTAACTAATTACTAATATCATTATTTAAGAGGCAGAGATCTAGAGGAAGTTCTAAATATAGTAGTATGGTCTAAGTATAGTTAGTATAGTTAGTAGTTAGTATTAAACTACTTAAACAGAACAACCTCCGACTTTCTACCAAGGGAATTTAAAAAAAATACGAATTCTTTAACGTGTTGTCAATTTGGAAATGTTGATCGCACGTATTGGACAAGACCAGGTGATAAGATAACGTTTGTTTGCCTTGATATAATTCTTACCAATCAAAGTAGTCATTGTGATAGTGATAGATAACAAAATTGAGAACTAGGTAACACTAACCAACCCGGAAAGATAATAACAAACACTGGCCAGGTTATTGAGTGGATAAAAATGAAAAACATAAGAAAATTCGCTAAAAGGAGAAATGAGTTTATAAATAAATTAAATAGGAATATTATGTTAAGATTTTTTTAATTAATGTTTTAAAATTATGTACCAATTTCTCATACTTTTACTTTTTGGATAGCGTTACATTAAAAATATATATATATATATTTTTTAAAATTTTGTTTTGTATTGAGACCCATCGTGGTATGTTATTTGGCTGGAGGCTGAGGGAAGTGGGCAAATTTTCATTTCAATGGGAAAAACATAATTTTTTTAATTATTTTTTTTTTAATAATAAAATTCAAAGAAATAAAGATTCATCTTATTAAATTTTGACTTATTCTATCGCGGAAAATGTTTTGATACATTAGTAAAATACAGCTAAGTAAATCCGTCCGTGGTCTGTAGGCTTGCGTCCGTAAGCCGTAAGGCAAGGCTTAGGCTTAAGTTTCTTTGTTATATTTTCATTTCTATTGTTGGCCGAGAAAGGGTTTATGCCAAAACGTCCTTGTTTTTTTTGTCCTGTCATCTTATTTCAAGCTTCCACATACCTCGTTTTGCTATTTCATTCTCTTAAGTTACGGGCAGTGCGGGGCAGCCTTATTACTTTTAGTCATAGTTTTTATTATAAGAAATTATACTTCACGATTAATAATTGGGACAAAGCTCTCCTAACTCAAGACACGAATCAGTCATTCCCACCATCAGTACCCACTACGAAAGAAACAAATAGTATTAAAATAATAATGATGTTATAAATAGGCCAATATAACATGGATAATAGTCGCATCATATGTCAATAAACTTCATTCAAGTTTTCCACGTCTGTGCATTTTAATAGTTCATTGCAACTAAAAAATTACAAACAAGGTTTAGTGCGGTTAGTCTCATAATGATAATGCACATTCAATGATTATAATAGATTTAGCGAAATGTTAATAAAGTACGGGTGTTTGGTACAAAAAATTAGACCTACGTCTACGACGATACGATAAGGTTACGGCACGCGCAATCATTAATCATGAAGAATTTATTATGTTAAAATTAATTAAAATTTTGTTTCCACTACTTTGAAAGCACGGCTTTTTTTTAAAAATAGTTATCACACTTGGCCCTTTGGTTAAAAAATATAATTTTTAGTGTAATTATTTTTAACAATAATACGAATACGAGTGTGTACAGAGGCGTAGGGAGAGTGTTTGGCGCCGGGGACAAGATTTGCGCCCAGTGACAAGGTTCATTTTAAAGCGCCCCCTTTTCTTGTTTCATCCCTCAAACCCGCTATTTTTATCAATAAAATAATATCAAAGCACAATTTGGCGCCCCTAACTAGCTGACGCCCGGGACATCTGTCACCCCTGCCCCACTTCGCTACGCCCCTGAGTGTGTATGTGTCACTTTCAGCGGCGTAATTATTAGGGTGTGGGCGAAGGTTGCGAGACTTGTGGGGGTCATATAAATGGTGTGTTAATAAGCGCACTTTTGGGAGTTCGCCCAGGGCGGCATTTAGTCAAGGCCAAGGTACGCAACTCCCCACATTTCTATTGAAAAATATTACAGACAATTGAAGAAAACTGATATTAATTAATCATAGTCATAGCCTTCGTTAATGTTGATGGGCTAATAAATAGTATAAATAAAAACTAGCCATTCAATGTTTGAATGTAAAATTTAAATAAAAATTATCCATTCAATGTATGGATGTAAATAAGAAAATAATTTAAATTTTAATTAAAATATATTTAGTAATTATTTCCTTTTAAGTTTAAGTACGTGTAATTTTTATTTTTTTTTATTTTAATGTTGGTAAATTTACTCGAATTCAGGTAACAAAATTGTTTAAGGTGAAATTGGAAAATAAATAAATATTGAAAACACTGTGGAAACTGACTTTTTCTTATTCTTCTTTTTATTTTTAACCAGATTTTAAAGATAAAAATGTTAAATTCATGGCCATGTACCCTACTTATACTTCGCCTAATAATAGCCTAATATTACTACACTCGAGCAATAGGGTAGTGGTTGTGTAGTCTATTGAGAACTTTTCATGCTTTATTCCTATTCGCCAGCTACCTTGCACTAACCATTATATTTCATGATATGAAGAAATGGAGAGAAAGTAAATATTTATTTGTGTGTGGTTGCATCATTTTGTCAATTTCATTTAATTTAGGCCTATTTTATATGTTTTATTTTTATATGGCTTATTTTTATATGGCTTATTTTGCATTATGTTGCATTGTGGTTTTCGTTAATTGGGAGGCAGCAAAATTACCTCCCTGGGAATTAGAGTAGCTACTCAACTGGTTGTATGTATAAGTATAAGCTATATGCAATAGAAAGAAGATGATAATGGGCTGCTGATTATAGTAGAAATGATATGGATAGATATTTTTACATTTAATGGGATAATCCAATAAGTGGGCATCTATAGGGCCTATATATGACATGACACTAGGGTTGTATCACATATTTGTGAAGATTGTCTATTTTATTGTGATGAGGGAGGGGGAAAAAAATTTACAAATGAAATTTGGATGGTCCAGATGAATGGCTTTAAAAAAAAATTGTTCACCAGATGAAGTGCTGTAATTACTTTGTTTATTAAATAAAAGCTATATTTAAAAATTGAGCAGATAATTTTATAAAGATTGATTCTTTAAAAAAAATTTAAAGTATATTTATTTAGCCTGTAATTCTGCAAAATATTTTTAATTTAAAATGGTTTAAATGACCATCCTAAATAAAAATTGGAATTTCAAATAAGCCCAATTCAATTATAAAATTCCATTTCCGCCCCCTTTTTATTTGTACTCAGCAATTAAATATCACAAGGTAATATACAAGTATTATATATGTTCATCTCAACATCTAAAGCAGTACTGGTAAAAAAATGCACCACCACTAAAGCACTACAGTAGTGATTGTCACCAATTTGGTGTGTGCATAGCACATCAACTTTTGACGAACCCGATCTTAGATATCCACTTTTACATACCACACCCTCCCCTTAGTGTTCTGTTTATGATGTGCTTTATTCACAAATTTTACAAATAAAATAAAATAATCACAATCTTCAAAACGCTTCAAGGTTTTAACAAATTTTTATTTGAGAAAGCTCAGCTCTCGACTAGTAACAATGGGGGAACAATCAGTCTTTCCTGGGTTGAGCTGAGGGGTAGAATCACTGCAAACATTTTTACACATCAAGAACTGAAGGAGTACATGTCATTTGTAAAGACTATACTTTCATAAAATCTTTAAAAGCCGATGGAAATAAATTTAAATCTGATTAGTGGAAGTCCACAAAAGTGTGTATTTTTTTAAAGTGTGGATGACAAAAAATGTATGATGCCTTTTATAAATATAAAAAATTAGCAAAATAAACGTTGACCTAAAAATTAATATAATAATTTTCAAAATATAACTTTTAAAGCTAAAAATATTGCACATGCAAGTAAATTTAAATTTAAAATAATGACTTTTTCATCTTCTGCAGAGTAATGTATCGAAAAAAATTTAGTATAATTATTCCATGTTAAAGAGACATTATGTTTTGATAAGCATGGACAGCATATGCAGGTAAAGCAAAATAAAATTAGTAGCACCATAAAAGCTCAAACAAATACACTCAGGAAAAATAACTTACTACCGGTATAGCAAATTAACATCAAATTTATGTAGGATAGAAAGCTAGTGCTTCTAACAAAACATTCGGATTATTTACCATTGATTATGAAATTAGACTGTGCTATAGACAATACAACCATAGCTGGCCTTTGATCATGAAGAGATAGGGCAGTGAAAATATTTTTTGTTTTAATAATCAATTAATATTTCCATTTTCTTGTTTTAAAAGTGGTGCCCGGAAAAGCTCTGTTTGTAACCTCAAGTAGGTTAAGGCCAGCATGAAATACAAGACCATAAAATCAATGGTCGTTTATTAAACAACTAGATAATGTGTAATGCTTTTTAAGCCAGCAGCAATAGTTGAAAAACTTTGATTTGGAATAAGAATTAATGGTGAGGCAACAAGACCATTGAGTACTATTCACTATACTATACCACTATTATATTTAGATCTAAATTAAAGTACAAGATAGTATATCACTATTTAATTGGTGCACTGATTTTTACTTTGGGTGCAGAAAAGGTTAGTGAGTCATAATATCAATTGATAAAAATTATGTTTTAGTTTTACAGTACTTACATTCCTGTTAGAATCACATGAACAAACTTAGGAGCTCAGCTTTTTTTCCAGTGAAAATTATTTTTAACGAGTCATTTAAATTGCACATAAAGTGATAGAAATTCAATATTAATTGTGAATTCACAACACAATTGGGTAGCTTCATATAGCAACAGTTACTAATACTGTAAATGTGTCACTAGATAACACAGAGGATCATTACAGGTGTGTGTAAATATGTATGTCATTAACAGGGACAGCCAAATAATTCCTATTATAAGTAAAGGTGATTTATATAGTGGTGAATAATCTCAAAATCAACCCAAATAATCATAATTCAATCAATGAACAATGTAGGAAATTGCTAAAAAAATAATGTAAATACGGGAAAGTTAGGTACAGGGCATTTATCTACAATATCTACTTGCCTTCTGACATTATCAATCTTCATAATTTGTAGCTAGAATATAAGATTGGATAAACTTTGCACAAGCAACATATATACCTTAATAATGTGCTAGTTCGTTAAATAATACAGCACACTTGTAACTTAAATTCATGATGCATGTGTAATAGAAACAAGACTGTCATCATTATACTTATGGAAACTATTTACATGAAGTTTGGAA